GGCTCAGGTCATGATCCCAGGGTCCTGAGATCAAGCCCCGGCATCAGCATTGGGCTCCCTGCTCAGCAGGAAGCCTGCTTCTCCCTCTCCCACTCCCCCTGCTTGTGTTCCCTCTCTCGCTGTCTCTCTCTGTGTCAAATAAATAAATAAAATCTTTAAAAAAAAATAGCATTCAGCATGTGTTTTGCAGCAGTGAGCACCGTCAGCTCCAAGAGTGATGTCACCAAGTCCCTTCCCCAGGAGCTACACTCAGCATCGCCGCCCCAAGCCACCAGAGTTTTGAAAGGTGTTTCTGAGCATCGGCGCTTTATCTCGGTTTATTCTGTGCATCCATTAGCAAGATGTGTCATAAGGTATCAGAAAAGCCTAAGGAGAGGTAAATTTTGGGGTCTGGGAGTGCTCAAAACATCTTGCATATAAATTAACGTAATCGCTTCTTCGCTTTACATCGTTTCGGCTTACAGAAGATTTTATAGGAATGCCCTATTTTCAGATATTGGGGGGAACCTATATCCTAGTCTAAAGAGTTACAAAGATAGTACAAATTAACCTCATGTACCCTTCATCCAGAGGGCCTGACTTACCACTTTTGGTTTCTCATTCTCTCTCAGATTTTAAGAGCCAATATGCGACTTGGCTATTTTGCCAAAAGAAAAGCATGTCCCAGAAAGGGGCTGCTTCTTTTTTTTTTTAATTTTTTTATTGTTATGTTAATCACCATATATTACATCATTAGTTTTTGGTGCAGTGTTCCATGATTCATTGTTTGTTCATAACACCCAGTGCTCCATGCAGAACGTGCCCTCCTCAATACCCATCACCAGGCTAACCCATCCCCCTCCCCCCCTCCCCTCTAGAACCCTCAGTTTGTTTTTCAGAGTCCATCATCTCTCATGGTTCGTCTCCCCCTCTGACATACTCCCCTTTTCTTCCTCTCCTGTTATCTTCTTCTTTTTCTTTTTTCTTAAAATATGTTGCGTTATTTGTTTCAGAAGTACAGATCTGTGATTCAACAGTCTTGCACAATTCACAGCGCTCACCGTAGCACATACCCTCCCCAATGTCTATCACCCAGCCACCCCAACCCTCCCACCCCCAACCACTCCAGTAACACTCAGTTTGTTTCCTGAGATTAAGAATTCCTCATATCAGTGAGGTCATGTGATACATGTCTTTCTCTGATTATTTCACTCAGCATAACACCCTCCAGTTCCATCCACGTCGTTGCAAATGGCAAGATCTCATTCCTTTTGATGGCTGCATAATATTCCATTGTGTATATATACCACATCTTCTTTATCCATTCATCTGTCGATGGGCATCTTGGCTCTTTCCACAGTTTGGCTATTGTGGACATTGCTGCTATAAACATTGGGGTACACGTACCCCTTCGGGTCCCTACATTTGTATCTTTGTGGTAAATACCCAGTAGTGCAATTGCTGGATCGAACAGTAGCTCTAATTTCAACTGTTTGAGGAACCTCCATACGGTTTTCCAGAGTGGTTGCACCAGCTTGCATTCCCACCAACAGTGTAGGAGGGTTCCAGAAAGGGGCTGCTTCTTTTGTCTGGGTCCTGTAAGGAGACCACTTGTCAAAGCCACAGCAAACATACAACTGATGGAAAACATAAACAATAGACTTTTCTATCATAAATATGATATTTTGGGGATTGTTTGATACTTCAGCATAATCTGGTGAAAGCCAGCTGATACAATTTCTGGTTGCCAGCCACTCTGGTACTTCTAGACTGTGTATTGGCTCCTGTAAGTCATCTTGCCCGTTGGGATACAGATTTGATGTGTGCTTGAGAGAGAGAAGGACTGGCTTCCACAAGGAACAGGGCCAAGGAACAAAACCAGCTTCTGAACCCTGCCTCCCCTTACTATTCCAGGTGAAGGTAAAATTAGAAGGCGGGAGAACAAGAAAGAAGGAAACACCAAGCAACAGCATATATCCCTAAAAGAATGGGAAAATTCCTATGAATGTATTTGGTTTTCTATCCTTTTCTTTCTTTTTTTTTTTTTAAGATTTTATTTATTTATTTAGGGAAAGAACTCAAGCGGGGGGGGGAGGGAAGGGAAGGGGAAAGAATCTCAAGCAGACTCTTCGGGGAGCCCAGAGCCCAACATGGGTTTTGGCTTCGGGCTCAAACTCAAGACCCTGAGATCATGACCAGAGCCAAAACCAAGAGTCAGACACTCAACCAACTCAGCCACCCAGGAGACCCTTCTGTCCTTTTCTAAGCAACAGTGACTGTCCTGTCTTGAGCTGGTTAGGATCCTAGTATCTGAATGAAGGAAACCGAGACCCCAGAATCTAGACAAAGAATCTATAAGCGAAGAGGACGTACTTCCCTGAGAGACAAATATCCAAATTATTCAAAGGGATATAAAGGTGCTATCCTTTGTTCTGTGATACCTGCATCTTCAAATCTTGACTCTTCAGTTTAGGGAGAGAGAATGTTTTGAAGAAAAGCATCAGGATACCTTTCCTAAAATAAAGGTCATAGAGCTGGGTGATAAAGGGGAGAGTTGGTGCTGTTCATATTAGACATCTGTTCGTATTAGACATGTTAATCTTCTGCTTGGAATATCTTCCTTTTGGGGAGTTTCCCTCTCCTTTCTGTGCAGTTGTGTTGGGTACTGGACTAGTGACTGTATCTCTATCACAGCCCATCACCACCATGACCCACGCTAGGTCCATCCCATTCCCTCTCACAGGAATTGGAATCTGGAGTGGAATTCCAAAGGGCTGGAGGAAGAAGGGGCTGGAGAACTCTGGAGCTCACCTGGTTACTGTCTTTCATGAAGCCTAATTGATTTTTCCTTTGGTAATGTGAGCTATCCACTATCCTGCCAGTCACCCCACCCCTTTACGTTAACAGAATCGGTTTCTCTTACTGACAAGCAAAGCAAAGAATCTTAATTAATACAGAAATTGGTGCCAGAAAATTGGCATCCTTGGGGAAATGTGGGGTATTTGGAATGAGTTATTTGGCTAATAGGAGGCAAAAGAATATGAAGCTCCATTAATATTCACGGGCCTTGTTCTTTCACTAAGGTTGGGGCTCTGGGAGCCTAGTAGTTGTTGCACTGACCAATTTAAATGATGAAGAATGGCGGACAACCAGGCATCATGGTTGTTTTCCACCCAACATATAACTTAAAACAGGAGAAGGAGATCAAATCTCAAAATTTCACCTTTGTGATATTCCAGTTTTTTCTGTGACTTTGACAAACAAACAAACAACAACAACAACAAAAACCAGAAGCAATTCCTATCTAAAGCTGTAAGACCGAGAATGTACAAACCAAACCCAGAAACTGATTTTGTGAGTTGGGTTCGCAAGTCTTTCTAGGTCCTTCATATGAAGGTTGGAGAAGTGATCAGAAGGCAGTGCATCCTGGCAAATGGAAAAGGCAACATTTAAGAGGATCTGTAAGACTGAATGTAGTACATCTCAAAGATGCACTGGTCCCCAGACCAGTGGCATTGGCATTCCCTGGGAACTTGTTAAAATGCAAATTTTCAGGGTGCCTGGGTGGCTCACTCTGTCCAGTGTCTGCCTTTGGCTCAGGTCATAATCTCAGTATCCTGGGATTGAGCACTGTACTGGGCTCTCTGCTCAGCAGGGAGTCTGCTTCTCCTTCTCCCTCTGTGATCTCTCTCGCTCTTGCTCAAATAAATGAAAATAAAATCTTAAAAGAAATGCAAATTTTCCAGCTCTACCCCAGACCTACTAAATCAGAAACTCTAGGGGTAGGCACAGTTCTGGGGTTTGGCATTCCTCCAGAGGATGCTGATGAAAGTTTGAGAGGAACTGACATAAAGGAACTGAAGACCTCGAACCATCCTGAAATAACTCCTCACCCTGCTTTCTTTGGCCGAGGACACTTCGCCACCTTTGCATGTGAGAACTAATAATTTCCCTCAGAAGCCACGTCACACTGTTGCTATGGCAACCAGCTACAATTCTCATGGCCTTGGTAGGGGGAGGGGAGGCAATCCCGAATATTGGTACATCAGAGTTAGAAGCCTAGAAGAAGTTGTAGAAATTTGCTAACTTATAGCCCCCCAAATTGGGAGAATGTGGGACTAGACTTTGAGGTTGCTAGATCAGGAGCAGGGTCCCTATAGTCTATCTGGCGGAATGTAGAGATAGAGGCACCTCCCAGAGATTGTGTATTCAGAGTATAACAAGTTGGGGTAAGACTGTCCATTGTGAATGTGCACTGAACCTTGTCCCACAACAAATTATATCCCAAAAGTCAGAAATCCCTTAACAAGTATAAAGGAAGGAATTCAGACACTCGAGGAAGAGGGAATAAAGGATTGGACAGATGATGCTCACGGAGTCCAGGCACCTCCTGACCACATCTTTGATATAAACTTTCATTTTAGTAAGGAAAAGTATAGGTTAAGGGGTATCAGTACCGTTTTATGGCAGGAAGGTGAAGCCGCTCCGGATAGTTTAAGCAGTAAGATAACTGCACCCAACTAGACGCTTGCAAAATCACTGAAAGAGACGGGGGCAGCGTGTGGAGGGGGGAAGCACCAGAGCTGTGAAGTTCTGGAGTTTGATCCTCTGATAAGAAGAAAAGCCACCACTGTCTCAACCGCCCCTTGACAGTGCTGAAAGTTGTGATTAGACACGCTTAGGTCGGCGGCTGCCGTTACCTACTGACGCTCAGATCCGCATGGCCTTGTTTGCCAGGAAAAACAGCAGCAGGAAAACAGCTTCTGTCTCACGTCTCTCTTTGATGTCATTCAAGAGTATGTCTAATCGGCAGAAACCAATTTGCTTCCAGAATATGAGCTGGAAAGGAGTTGGGGAAGCATGGTTTTTCACTTCCCAGCCTCAGCAGAGCAGGAAGATACATTCAAGGAAGGGGCACGAAGGGATAGTGAACTCATTCTGTACCCATCTCCCATGAGAAGCAACAGCTCTGTACAAAAAGCCTTCTCTAGACTCAGAATGCTGTGTGCGAGAGCGTCAGAATGCTCTGTGCGAGAGCGGTCACTGGGATGGATTCCCAGATCTCAGGGGCAGCTCAAGATGCATGTGCCCATGTAGAAGCTGCTAACAGAGGTAACCAGAGGTAAACGGAGCTTGGTTATTCTAGCAGACAGCACCGTGGCCAGGGTAATCAGGTTCCAGTAAAAATAGCCTGACTCTCGTGAGTATCCGGTTGTGATAAATGAATCAGGTGGCTCCAAAGTGCGGCATATCCGGAAACCGTAAGTCCTTATTTGATTTTTTTTTAAGATTTTATTTATTTATTTATTTAACAGAGAGAGACCCTGAGAGAGGGAACACAAGCAGGGGTAGTGGCAGAAGCAGGCTTCCCACAGAGCGAGGAGCCTGATGCAGGGCTGGATCCCAGGACCCTGGGATCATGACCTGAGCCGAAGGCAGAGGCTTAACGACTGAGTCACACAGGCGCCCCAGTCCTTATTTGATTTCCACCCCACCACAAAGGCCAGGACTGAGCCACCTTCCTCGACAGTTAGGTTTGGGTTTTTGTTTTTGTTTTTAACCTATCTTCCAGATCTGAGTTAGTTCAAGGCAATACATTAATGGTTCAATTGAATTGTAAGTTGAAATTGCCACCAGGCCATTTCACTGCTCAGGCCACCAGGAGCCACCAAAGGGAGCAATGGGTTGCTGTGGTGAGTTCAGAATACGGGCCTGAAATCTCAGAGGCTTTCTCCCTTCAAAAGGCAAACCTAAGTGCTCTCCCCCTTGGGTGTGAGTCAAAGTGACTCACTTCTAACCAGCAAATTTCCTTCTAAGCCCTACTTGTACTGCATCTCACAGATGTTGATAAGTTCCATTTTTATTTAGTTCCAAATTAAATTTTTCTCTTGAGATTTCTTCTTTGAGCCATGTACTATATAGAAGTGTGTTGTTTAATCTCCAAATATCTTGAAATTTTCCAGCTATCTTTCTGCTATTGATTTCCAGTTTAATTCTGTTATCTGAGAACATACTTTGTATGATTTCTATTCTTTTACATTTGTTAAGGTGTGTTTGATGGCCCAGAATGTGGTCTATCTTCCTGAATGTTCCATGTGAGTGTGAGAAGAACATGTATTCTTCTGTTGTTGGATGGAGCTGAGTTAACCATTGAACAACACGGGTTTGAACTGTGCGGGTCCATTTATACATTGATTTTTTTTAAACAAATACAGGACAGTACTATAAATGTATCTTCTCTTATGATTTTCTCTTAATTTTTAAAAATTTTTTAAAAAATATTTTATTTATTTGACAGAGAGAGAGCATAAGCAGGGGGAGGCAGAGGGAGAGGGAGAAGCAGGCTTCCCGCTGAGCAGGGAGCTGGATGCAGGGCTCCATCCCAGGACCCTGGGATCATGACCTGAGCTGAAGGCAGACGCTTAACCAACTGAGCCACCCATGAGCCCCTAAATAGTTGTGTAAAATTGAATTATTTAATTATCATAGCCACTCCCTGCTGGGCTGTGCTAATTGGTATAAGAAATTTGAAAGGATCAAGAATGTATGATTGCTGCTGTGCCAAGCCAAAGTCAACCAGTTCATTTCTTCCAACTCTGCATATAGGGGGTAATGTACTGACAGTGGGGAATCTGGGATACAAGTAATTCAAATGGTGTTATCATCAAATACTGTTAAACATCATCCTACACACACACACACACACACACACACACACACACACACACTCATTCACACATACCACAAAGGGCTACAGAGTATAGACTTTGCAAAGCAATGACCTTTCTACTTCATAATGCCTGAAAATTCTACCGAGAGATCTTTACCCATTCTACTTCAGAGGATTCTTACAGGATCTTGGATTCACTTTCAAATTTAAGCATTTTAATATTCAATAAATTAAAAAATCTTAGCAAGGCTTTCCTAGGCCTAATGATTTCAAGTAAAAACTAAAGAAAGGCATTCACATAAATCCTTATTAAGCCATTACTGTGTTTGAAGCCTTGTGCTAAATAAAGTATGGTACAAAGTTGATTTGGTCAGGGAGAAGCCCAAGGAAAAGCATTTTAGGTTAACATGTTACCATCCAGCAAAGATTCTGTAGTTAACTCCTTTCTAAGTGAAGAACAATTTTTGCTGCAGCAGACACTAACATTTTGCACTCAATACACTCAATGCACTCAAATTCCTCAATCTAGGTCAATCTCATGGTTGTTATGCATACTTTCTGGATTACTCCTTATTTTAAAATACTGAATTTTGCCCAATTGTCAGACCAAGTGTTCCAATTTTAGGTTAAAAATATAGTCATACTACTCTTGTCCCACGGCATCTCCTCTCCTCCCCGCCACTGTCAAACTTTCTACCAACAAAGAACCGTGCTTTGCGTCCTAAAGTGGACATAACCGAAAGACGCAGAAACCTACGTGGGTTTAATCCTTGCGTGCTTGCATGCAGAGTCCCTAATCCCGTTTTCCACGTCACTCAAACGCAGAGCTGCATCAGAAAGCCTCTTCAAGGTTCCTTGAATCTGCAGACTTCTGCGATTAAAATGCATCTCTTCTTGGGAGAGAATTCACATAAAGCACCCATAGTAAATTAGCTAGCTGAGGGCCAGGCCAACCGCAGGGTTGAACTGAATCTTGTTTCTCTTTGAAAAGCCTTCCCGGGGAGAACATCCCACGCCAGCAACAGAGCGCGCCCCGGCACCACGTGTCTGCACCGACAGCGGGATTGGCGGAGCGCATTTTAGCGCTGCGGTCTAGACGCTCACAGTCCCGCCCAGCTGCCAGAGGAGCTGGGACGCGGAGAGGAGACGCCGGAGGGAGATCGCAGAGGGGAGGGGGGCGGGAGGGGGGTGGGGGATTCCCGAGGAGCCGGCGGACCGGGAGTCTGGGAGGGCCCGAACGGCGCCAGGCCCGCCGCGCCACAACTTGCCCAAACCAGACAAGCTTCGTTCTGCGCCCTGGAAGAAGGAGTCGGCCCGCCGCTTCCAGCTCGGCTGCTCCTCGGCCTCGGTGGGCCCCGCCTGCGCCAGCAGCGCTTCTGGGGTCTGGGTCCCCAGCGTCGCCCCCGTCCTCCTGCAGCGCCCGGCGCCCGCCACGGAGCGCGCAGCTGGGGTGAGCCGAGGAACCCTTGGGAGCCCGCTGCAGACCCGGCATCTCCGTGCCGGCGTAGCCAGGGCCTCCTCCGCTTCCCCCGACCGCGAGCCGAGGCACTGCAGACCCCGATGGCGTGGCTGCGCCAGCCCCCTACTCCCCCTTTCCCTTCTAACGGACAGTGCGGGGGCCTCACTGGAGCCCGTGTAATCCGGCCTTTGTCTTTGCGGTTCGGCGGGCCACCCCGCAGTGCGCCCGGGACTGGAGGCGCCGCGCCGGGCTGCAGCCCAGCCCCGGGATGGGGGGCGGAGGGAACGGGAAAGCGTGCCCCCTTCTTTCCTGTTCCGGCCATCTTGGGACCGAGATTCAGCCAAGGGGCAAGGATGGCCCGCAGCGCGGCTCTCTGCGCCCAGAGTAGCGGCAGCGAACGTAGATGGGCACTTCAGCCCCGCGCACCTCCTCCTCCGTCCGCAGTGCGGGCGCTCAGAGAGCACCCCCGCGTTCAGCTCCAAGGGCCTGGGCCCTGAGCATGGGTAAATCCCCCTCACACGCCAGACACACAGAGAACAGGAGAGATACGGGCTGACATTTACCTAACTAAACGCCGAATTCATTCAATCATTCTTTATCCACGTGTCCATTTGGCAAATTCTCAACCCTCTCTGGGCCTGACCTTTGCCAGGTGCTGAGGACAAACGGTGAGCAAGAGAAATCACGGCCCTTGTTCCCGCTGATCCTGCAGCCCAGTGGATGGAGCCCACAGTCCACAGACGTGCCAGGTCGGTATCCTGACGTCCTTTAAACAGGTTGGGAAACTGAGGCCTGGGGCTGACATAACTTGTTCTAGGTCAAGCAGCAAGTAAATGGAAGAATCAGACTTTGAACCTAGGTCTGTAAGTCTTTTACGCCAGGTGCAGTGAACCGTTAATAGTTTTTTTTTCCCCCAAAGGCCCATTAAAAGTTATTTGGATGTACAGTTTATATGAAGTCATATGAAGTGCGTTCTGTATTTCCTGGGTGCTTTTATATGGGTTTCTTTCTGGTTCACAGTATCTGGAAAGTGCTAAAAATATTTGACATTACAACTTTGCTTTAAGTTACTCTGAATTGTATTTTCCTTTCTTCTATTCACATATCTGGCTGTTAGGAAAGAAAAAAAATTTCCTGATGGTTGTTCCAAGCAGGGACTCCCCCGTGGATTGAGGAATGTGTGGCTTTTCCTCAGCTCATTGATCTCTGTGGTAGCCACGGGCAGCACCCAAAGGACCCCAAGAATGAGAGGCCTGTGGTCTGCAAGTTGCTGCTAGAGATATTTTAGCCTCTCCAGATAACAGAATGCAACTGCCACACAAGTTCCTAAGGTAAACACCAGGGCCCTCTAAAACTTGATGGTACAAAGCTGATGGGTAAAGTTCCCCTCCATATAATTTTTTTTTTTAACCTTCACATTTTGAGAATGTATTCTTTTGGAAAGACAAGTCAAGTATTACTGTCTGGGGAAATTCCTTGATTTGTGCTTTTTTTTTAAAGATTTTATTAATTTGTGAGAGAGTGAGAGAGAGCATGAGAGGGAGGGGGGTCAGAGGGAGAAGCAGACTCCCCGCTGAGCCGGGAGCCTGATGTGGGACTCGATCCTAGGACTCCAGGATCATGACCTGAGCCCAAGGCAGTTGCTTAACCAACTGAGCCACCCAGGCGCCCTTGATTTGTGCTTCTGTCAGTGTCTTATATTTAGGTAGGCAACTCATAGAGGAAGAAAGACTCCATTTTAAAAAAAGGGTCTTGGGTGTAAAATTGAGAAAACCTGCCAACAAATATAATGAGCCTCGCCACTAATTTAATTTTTTAAACAATTTCATTGAGGTATAATAGACAAATGCACCCTTCATTTTCAATGTACAATTGGATAAATTTTGATAAATGTATATACCAGGTAATCAACAAACAGCAAAATTAAAATACAGAACATTCCTGTTAAACCGCAAAAGTGTCTTTCTGCCCCTTTGCTGCCAATGCCCCCCCATCCCATTTAATTTTACAGTTTTGTTGCTGAACGTTTTTTAAGTTGTGTGTAAAAGATGAGGATGAATAGGCATTTCTAATCTTAAAACCTAAGGCGAGGACAGGAGTGAATAACCGGAGGCTGGTAGCTGGGACCGAAAGTGCCGGGGGAATGTGGCTCTCTACGCCTTGGGGACATGGAGTGTCAGCCCCAGAGCCAGGGAGGGTAGTGGCCCAGAGAGCCAGCGCCCAGGAGATGCCCTCTCCCGGTGGACGCGCTCGCCCACGAGGTCTTCTCTGGTCCCGCAGGGCCCTGGGCGCACGCTGACCGCTCCGGGGCAGGCGCGCCCTTCGCTCCAGGTCCAGGCTGGGGCGCTGCCATAGCAACGGCCTGGACGCCCGGACCTTAGGCCGCCGCCGCCGCGGGAGACCCAGCCATCTCCCGCTCCGGAGGGGTGGGGCGGCGGCGGCCCGGGAGGCGGCCCGGGCCAGGTAGACGGGACCGCTCCCTCTTCGGATGCCAGCGGAGGCGGCGGATTTGCTTCCAAGCATGGTAAGAGCGGGGAGATCGGGCTGCCTGGGGATGTGGGGCTGGCGGCTGCCGCGGCTCCCCGGGACTCCCAGCTCCCCCCCCACCTCCACGCTGTCTCCTTCCCGCAGCCCTTCCAGAAGCACGTCTACTACCCGCTCGCCAGCGGCCTGGAGGGTCCCGACGCCCCCGCAGCTGACTCAGCCGCGCGATCCGCGATGGCCAATGCTCCCCACAGCGCGGCGTCGGGCCCCCTGCCCTTCTTCCAGTTCCGGCCGCGGCTGGAGAGCGTGGACTGGCGGCGGCTGAGCGCCATCGACGTGGACAAGGTGGCGGGGGCCGTGGACGTGCTGACACTGCAAGAGAACATCATGAACATCACCTTCTGCAAGCTGGAGGACGAGAAGTGCCCGCACTGCCAGTCGGGGGTGGACCCGGTGCTCCTGAAGCTCATCCGCCTGGCGCAGCTCACCATCGAGTACCTGCTGCACTCCCAGGAATTCCTCACGTCGCAGCTGCACAACCTGGAGGAGCGCCTGCGCCTGAGCATGGCCGAGGGTGAGCAGAACAAGAAGCTCCTCGCCAAGCAGGCTGGGGAGATCAAGTTACTCAAGGAAGAGTGTAAACGCAGGAAAAAGATGATCTCGACCCAGCAGCTGATGATCGAGGCCAAAGCCAGCTATTATCAGGTGGGACCCTGCGTTGTGATTCTAATTCATAATCCAGTAAGATTTTTGGTCCCCAGCAGCCAGGATATCCAGAATCCTTTCCTAGATCACTGCCCGCCCCCCCCCCTTTTTTTCCCAATAGTTAAGCAATATAGTCATTGTAACCAACAGGTGACATGGTTCATCACCTTCCATAGAGAACCACAGGATTAATAATTAAGAATTAAACAATGCCCTCAGTGCTTTATTGAAGCCATCTAAATACTGGTTGTTTAAGAAACTGCGTCCTTCCACGCGTGATGTAATGAAAAATAAACCATGTACAAATTGTTGAGGTCTGCCCCAGATGATGTGGTACGATTAAATTTGTGGGGGTTTTATTTCAAAATATTTTCAAACTTACAGGAAGGTTGTAAGAATAGTGCAAAGAACTTCATAAACCCCTCACCCAGATTCTCCAGTTATTAAATTTGCCACATTTCATTTATTTCCTCAGTCTCTATATACGTACTATTATTTTTGAACCATTTGACAGTAAGTTTCAGACTCCTGAATATTTCAGTGTCTATATTTCCTAAGAACAAGAACAGTGCCTAATATAACAATATTAGTGATATGGGACAACTGTGTTTTAATTGAACAGGTAGTATTTAAAATATATTTTATTACTAAAACAACAGTATTTAAAAAAATTAAAACCTCTTGCTTTTCTGCTTTTAATCTCTATTATGGGTTAGACATTGAGCTCAAGATAAATATTGTAATTTTTGAGTATAACAAATCAATGTACTTATTTTTTTAATAGAGTATCAACAATGTTTGATAAAAATAAAGATATCTTTGATAAAGATATTAAAGTAAGCAACAGGCTGACAAGATTGATTTCATTCCCTTATATTGTAGTTACTTTGGCTCAATATGAGTAAAAAGGCCTAAGTGAATGGGACGCCTGGCTGGTTCAGTTGGTAGAGCATGCGACTCTTGATCTTTGGGGTCGTGAGTTTCAGCCCCATGGTGGGAGTAGAGTTTATTAAAAAAAAAAAAAAAAAAGCCTCAGTGGACTTAGGTACTAGTGCTGTGAGTGATTGCAGAGGACTGGCTATAGACACTAATGGTGTGGTTCATAGTGCTTAGGACTAACCCAACAGGAGCCTTGGGAGAAGTGTACTTCAGATAGGTGAACAGTTAGGAGACAAAACTGTTAGAAAGCCTTAGTGTTTAGCCTTGGGTACCCAACCCTGAGTATAATCCTCAAATAACACCTGATGTTGCTGATTGCCTATTTGTTTCATAAATGCCATTTAGAAACTACATATTTATAAAAGTGCTGATATGGCCTTTTATAAATATATTTATTATACATTGAATAGAATGGATTCTATTTAGACATTAAAATAGTTTAGCTTGGGGCGCTTGAGTGGCTCAGTTGAGCACCCTACTCTTTGTTTTGGCTCCGGTCGTAATCTCAGGGAACGTGAGATTGCATCAGGCTCTGCACTCCGCGGGGAGTCTGCTTGAGATTCTCTTTCCCTCTGTTCCTACCTGGTGCGTGCCTGCACATGCGCACACTGTCTCTCACTCTCTTTCTCTCTCAAATAAATGAATCTTAAAAAAATATTTTAGCGTTGGTGGTAATCAGTGAAATGTTAAAACCTGTAACATACAGAAATTTTAGACTTTTAGGAACATTTTTTCATTCTTTTAGTTACCATAGAAACAGCTGTCCGCAGAGATTTTCAAGGGTGAAGGGTATACATGAATAAAGGTAATGGCTCATTTTTATCAAGTGAGTGACACCTGCCAACTTGGCCACTCAGCAGACTCCCTGAATGAAAATGTCAGGTGTATGGCGTGCCCAGGTGTGACCAAGAAAAGATAGAGGTGATCAGACCACTTTTTCCTACTCAGTGTAGTATACACTCTGCCGTTTTTGGCCGCTTGCCATTCTCTCTTGATGGAGTCCTTAAGCAGTTGAGTGCGTTAGGGTGACAGTTCCAGAGTTCGACTGCGAGTGTTCGAATCCTAACTATTCCACCATGCAAGTCATGTAACCCCTAGGCCTCCTTCTCCTCATCTGGAAAATGAGAACATTAGCGGTAGGTACCGTAGCAGTAGGGCTATTCCGAGAATTCCATGAGATAATGCGCGTGTGGCATCAGGAAGTCTCGGTAAACGTCGCCTCTGACGTGTGCATGTTGATTTCTCTGGGTGGTGAGCTATGGCGACCCATGACCTCTGCGAGTCCTGGCACCTTTCCTAGGAGCTGAATAGCAGTTGCAGTGAGAATCAGTGATTCAGGGAGGGGACGTCAAGACCGCTGCTAAGAAAAGTTGGCACATAAACTACCGGGGGTTCCACGGTGTTACAGTTATTTCAACTTCAGGTTCCTGTGTTTGGGGACATTTGGCCTACGATAAAGTTTACAGGAAGACAATTGATTTTGTTGAAATAGCTTAGCCTGCAGTCATTAACTTGTGTATAGAGACCTCCAACAGCTGGGGACGTCTCATGGCCATGGGTGCAGGCCAGTGTGTACCAGTGTTCTAGCTATCAAATTATTTTTTTTAATTAAAAATGTAAAGATACCAGTGGATCATAACAGGACCTAGGCTCATTCTAAGAAGACCTTTTGTTCTCATAGTTGGAAGACTTAGATTCCTCTCCATGCTTTAGCACGACAGGCAGATGTGGGGATCTGTCAGTGAATTTCTGACCCTGGTTGCAGTTTTTCAGTGTCTTGGAGTTGGAGATGAGTGTTGGGGATAGAAAAAGCATGCATTTTACAGTCAGAGAGACATAGGTTAAAATATGCATCTGATAACGCTGTGACCTAATTCATTCCCCACACCCCCAACCAACCTGCTCAGCGGGGAGCCTGCTTCTCCCTCTGCCTGCCACTTCCCCTGCTTGTGTGCACTCTCTTTCTCGCTCTCTATCTCTTTCTCACAAATAAATAAAATCTTTAAAAAGAATAAAAATAAAAAGGCATCACCAAGGTCATCCAGGTTTTCTCGTATGGTATTTTTTAGGAGTTTTATAGTTTTGCATCTTACATTTAGGTTTGTGATCATTTTGAGTTAGACTTTGTGAAGGATGGGAAGTCTGTGTCGACGTTCATTCTTCTGCACGTGGATGTCCAGTTGTTCCAGCACCATTGTTGAATAAACTATCTTTGTTCCATTGTATTGTTTTCGCTCCTTTGTCAAAGATCAGATGATGAGATTTATATGGGTTTGTTTCTGGGCTCTCTCTTCTGCTCCGTTGATCTGTTTGTCTGTTCTTTAGATAATACTATACTGTCTTGATTACTCTAGCTTTATCTAGTGAGTCTTAAAGTTGAGTAGCACAAGTCCTCCAACTTTGTCCTTTTCCTTCAGTACCATATTGGCTATTTTGGGTCTTATAACAAACTTTAGAATCAGTTTGTTGCTATTCACAAATCACTTGCTGGGATTTGGATTGGGATTGCATTAAATCTATAGATCAAATTAGGGAGAATTGACATCTTGACAATATTGAGTCTTCTTATCCATTAACATGGTTGTTCACTTATTTAGTTCTCCTTTGATTTGGTCTTCAGAACTTCGAAGCTTTCCTCATATAAAGCTTGTACATATTTTGTTGGATTCATACCTAAGTACTCATTTTGGGGGGTATTAATGTAAATGGTGGTTGGTTTTTATTTCAAATTCTACTTTTTCATTACTGGAATATAGGAAAGTTGACTTTAGTATATTACCCTTACGTCCAACTTTGCTATACCTCATTATTAGTTCTAGGTTGTGGTTTTTTGGTTGTTTTTTTTTTTGTCAGTTCTTTTGGATTTCCTACGTAGACATTAGTGTCATCTGAAAATGAAGAAAATTCTGTGTCTTCCTTGCTAGTCTGTATATTTGTTATTTCCCTTTGTTGCTGTATTACATTGGCAGGGACTTCCAGTACAATGTCTTTCTCTACAAGCTTGGAGGTGGTGGTTTGCCCTGTGTCTTCTCTTTTCTTATGGATCCAAGAAGAGTTGTCGATTTTTTTAGTCTGTTCAGCTTTTTACTTATTGTTAGGAGGGGGTGGCAAATTTCAAGCTCCTTACCTGCATATTCAGAAACTGAAAGTCTTCTAACTTTGTTTTGATGTCTTTTTCATATAAAAGTTTTTCATCTTTTTTAATTTTTATTCTTATTTTAAAGATTTTATTTATTTATTTATGTATTTATTTGAGAGAGAGAGCGTGCAGAGAGAGAGCATGAGTGGGGGGAGGGGCGTAGGGAGAGGGAGAGGCAGTCTCCCCACCGAGCAGGGAGCCCCGACATGAGGCTCAATCCCACATGACCTGAGCCAAAGGGAGATGCTTAACTGACTGAGCCACCCAGGCACCCCAGAAGTTTTTCATCCTGATGCAGTCAAAATGTCAGGCTTTTCTTTTGGGAGTAGGAACCCCTTCTTACCCTGAGCTCATGGCTTTTCTGTATTATTCAAATAGTTAAAATATCTGTTTTCCATTTTTAGAAATTAAAAGCCACACATTCTAGGTTTCTTCATCCTTTCCTTTCTCCAATGCTGTGCATGGCCTTAGAGCCCACACTGACACCTGAGTCAGGGCAGTCCGTAGAGAACTGTGAGGAAACCCAAGCAGTCATCAGCAGCGGAGGAGGCTGGAAAGATACGTTCAACTTCCCCTGAAATGCAACGCCAAGAAATATGCCATACTGTAGGTTTTCTGGGAAAGAGAATGTGAACTTGCCATGCAGTTCTCCTAATTCAGAGTAAGGCAATACTGTGCATGAGTAGAACATGTGAATAGCACAAGGGGGATGAAACTGCAGAATCCAAACTGGGAGAAACTCTGCAGGACACATGTTCAGTTTCTTTGGCAAATAAATTGCAAGGAAAAAGAGAGATGGAGGTCAACTTACAGATCAGAAGAGAGTTGAGAGGCGTGATAAGCCGTTGCAGGTTATGGCCTTATTTGGATCCCGATTCAAAACAAACTGTAAATTTTTTTTCTAAGACATTGTGTGAAATATTGGAGAAAAATAATGTTTTTAATGTGTTGATATTAAGAAATTAATTTTCACATTTTAAGAAGTGGAATAATAATATTATGATTGTGTTAAAAGCAAGTCCTTTTAGAGATAGAGTCTGAAATACTAACAGATGAAAATATATAATATCCACGGTTTAATTCAGGGTAATCCAGGGACGGAGGTATAGATGAAACAAGTTGAATTTTTGCTTAAAATTTGAATCAGTGTTAAAGTGGAAAATGGAGATATTGGTAGAACTGATTTTTTTTTTCAGTAAAATTCATTTTAGGGAGCTAAATATTTCTAAGCATGTGTTCAGTCATTTATTAATGCTGGGCTCTGGGGATAATGCTATGAATAAGGTAGACAATAGGCCATACCGTCAGGACTATGACGTCCTGCAACCGAGAGGCCCTGGGCAGGAGACAGTAAACAAGTGAAGTGTGTCCCTGTGGAAACAGCAACGGGTGAGATGTTGCAATGTTGACAGTAAGGCGGCAGGATGGGATGGTGACTGGCAGGAGGACCGCCCGCAAAGGTCTGGTTGAGGACTCGCCATTCCGCCCCAGTGTGGAAGATGCTCCCCGGAAGACTCCTGCGTGTCAAGAAGGAGTCAGCGGGGAAGGTCTGGGGAAGATTCAGGCGGGGCACAAGCCAGTGCAGAGGCTGAAGTTGGTCGGCTTGAGAGACAAAAAGAAGACTGGCATGGTTGGAGTGTCCTGAGCAAGTTGGTGACAGGCTGGGAATCCCCTGTCTAACGGGAACAGCATCAGGGGTTCCTGCAAGCACCAGGATGGGCCACCTTAGCTGCCAAAAGATAGCTTTCACTGTTTGGGGACAACACCATGGTTTATAGTTGTCTTTCTAGTCCTGCTTTGAGTACCCCCTACCGGCGTGGAAAATTCCCAGGAGGTGGTGCTTTAGGTACCCCAATTTTAATTGAACTTAGGTGGGGGGGGATACTCATTACAGACCCTTAGATTTGTTGCTTTCTCTTTTTCAGTGCCATTTCTGTGACAAGGCCTTTATGAACCAAGCTTTTCTACAAAGTCACATTCAGCGCCGCCACCCCGAAGATTCTCATCTCGGTAAGTCACGAGCTCAACTTCAAAAAGCCATTTTCCTTTGGGTACCTTTTTCTTTTTTTTCAGTGAGACATGGTCCAGGTCCAGTGCCTCTCTCAGTCCTTTGAAAAGAAAGTATCATAGTCTTTATTCGCTCATTAAGTAGCACTTGTGCCCCTACTACGTGCCACGCATGGTACCAGGCCTGGGGATATGGGTGCAAGCGAAACAGACCGAGTTCTGCCCTCTGGAGTCTTGACGTGCTATTAGGAAGGGCGGAGAACAGATAGGTTAGCAGAGTAGAGGGAGCAAGGCAGTAGTGTGCGGGGCATTGGAGGGGAGGAGGCTGGGTCACATGGGACCTTGAAGGCCCCCCCCCTCAGCCAGGAATGTGGGTAGCTCCTGGCGGGGGGCATAGCGCCAGTGGTGGAAGCAGGTGGAAGAGAGGGGGGCTGTGAGAGTAGCCCAGGTGAGTGACATGGCAGCAGGACCAGGACGGGACCAGGGAAGATCAGAGAAGTGAAGATGGAGAGGACCTGTTCCACACAGAACCCGCGGAGGTGTGACTTGGCGTGAGAGCAAGAGATAAAGAAAGACAATCCTGGGTTTTTGTCCTCTACGTTTGGGTGAATGGCGGTGATGTCTTCTCAGATGGGGACATACGGACGGAAGCGGATTGAGGAAGCAAAGAGAATGAGAGTTCGTGTTGGTCAGGGTAAACTTGAGTCACACATACAGTCGCCATCCAAGTGGAGATGTGGGGGGTCTGGGGGTCAAGGGAGAGGCCCAGGCTGGAGAGATAAATCCAGGAGTCCTTAGCAGAGCTGGGCCGGATGAGCTCACCTAGATAGGGAAGGGAAGATGGCCGAGGGCCTGCCCTAAGGCTCTCCCAACGTGAGGAGCTCAGGAGGAACAGCCGAGGGCAGTGAGAAATAGTTATGGAGGCAAAGGGAGACCTGGGGAGTGTGTTGTTATGGAAACCAAGGGAAACGGGGGTTTCAGGAGGGATCCCAGTGGTCAGTTTATTGAAAGTTCCTGAGGCACAGAGTAAGATGAGGACAAAAAATTGATCATTGCTGTCACGATGGCTGCTGTTGACCTTGACGTAGCAGCTTCAGTGCATTGGTGGGGACAGAAGCCCAAAGTGAGGGAGCCGAGCTGAGAATCAGGTGAGCAAATGGTCAGTAACATGTGCTGGGAAGGACAGCAGAGACATCAGGCATTGTCTGGAGGGAAATGTGGAACCAAGGGAAAATTTTTGTTTCCTTTGATGTGGGAGATACGAAGGTGTTTTTGGGTCCGGAGGTATAGAGGGGGAAATTAAAGAAGCAAGAGCGGGAAGGGGTTCTGTGGCTTCTCAAGGAAGCAGGTTTCCTCTTCTCTCAGTGTTCTTAAGGGAAAATAAATACCAGGCCTTATTTCTCCATCAGCAGACAAAGCCTTCTGCCGATTGCCTGATTGCCTACAGACCGGTAACCCACAGAAATTCTCATTATGGTCTTAAATGCTTTTAGCCTCTCAATGCGTGTGCTCCTAGCTTGTGACTAAGTGCTTGCTTTAGTCTCCTTTTTGGGCCAGTCTGTTTCCATTCCTGCCTATTTCAGACAAATAGACTTAAGTTGGAAACAGCTAAGCTTTGTATAAACAGTATGAACAGCCGAAAATTCCATTTGTAAGTCATGGACCACTGATACAATTTAGCAGTATATTGGAGAAGTTGGGAAGATTAAGTGTTTTAATGAACCTACCATTCTTCAGTGTGAAACTGACCTTCTTTCTCTTCTGTTTCAGTATCTTATTCTATCTCATACTCGTTTCAGAGAGTATTTCAGACTCTGAAACGAGTATTATTTCTTCAGGTCATCTTTGAGATTCTGACTTTCTACTTTGGTTTCCATACCTTTCATGTCTACACTCACAGACACATGTATATCCATTCAGTCATGTGCACATCTTCATGTAAGTACATGTACATAATAAGTACCTTCCCTTCACTTGTTGCTTCCTTTTACAAACTTTTGGTACCTTGTTTTGGCCCCGTGGACAGCGTATGGCCCCAGCTTGCATTTTGAATGCCAATCTCTGCTTGTCTTAGCACTGATGGGGTTCTCAGGAGAGCGTGGTGGGAGCCAGAAGGACAGTGACCATAGAGATTTCCAATATGGCTGTACCTGTAGTGGAAGCCGGGGCTTCCTTTCTCTCCTCGAGACTGGCATCCCCGACAAGAGCCCAGGATTATTCCTTGTCACCATTATGGTTCCCTGAATGGGCTCTCACACTGTCTCTGGAGGGTAATCCAACACAGTGGCTGAAGTAATCTGCCACAAGTAATTCAGCGTCCCCTAAGTAAACACTACCGAGCAAAACTTGGCTCGTGTGGCATGAAAAAGTAATAGTATCCCAAGTCAGAGCACTTTCCTTTGTCTTTGTCTTATCAATAAGACCGTACCCCATAAGTTTTCAGATAGGTTTCAGAAGAGGTGGTATTTTAATGGCGTATTTCTGTTGCAACAGAGTATAAGAAAAAGGCACAGACTGATAAGCTCCAGAGTGAGATTGATATGCTGAAGGAGCAGCTGCAGCTCACCAGGTCTCAGCTGGAGGCTGCACAGCACGCCCACGCTGTCAGGTTCTCTAAGGTAAGGGGCTGAGTTCTGAAAACGGTGGTAGGTGGTAGGTGGTAGGGTGGGAAGGACGGGTGTGAATTCCTTTGAAATGTTTGGTGGAATTCACCAGTGAAGCCGTCTGGTCCTGGGCTTTTCTTTGTTGGGAGGTGTTTGATTACTGATTCAGTGTCCTTACTCATTATTGATTGGTCTGTTCAGATTTTCTATTTTTTTCATGATTCAGTCTTGGTAGGTTGGCCTGTTTCTAGGAGTTTATCCATTTCTTTGAGATTGGCCAGTTTGTTGGCATATAACTGTACATAGTAGGCTATTACGATCCTTTGTAATTCCATAGTGTTAGTTGTAATGTCTCCTTCTTTTCTTTATAATTTATTTGAGTCCTTTTTCGGTTAGTCGTTTTGGCCCTGTGGAGTTTGACACTAAGAGTTTGACAATTTTGTTTATCTTTTCAGAAAAAAACCCTCTTAGTTTTGTTCATCTTTTCTATTGTTTTTCTGTTCTCTATTTTATTATTTCTGCTCTAATCTTTATATTTCCTTCTGCTGACTTTGAGCTTAGTTTTTTTTCCCCTCGATTTTGAGGTGTAAAGTTATATTGTTTATTTGAGATCTTTCTTTTTTTCTCAATGTAGGTGTTTTTAGCTGTAAATTTTCCTCTTAGAACTGCTATTGCTGCATCCCCTACATTTTGGTATGTTGTGTTTCCCTTTTCGTTTATCTCAGGATATTTTTGACTTCCCTTTTGACTCCTTCTTTGATCCATTGGTTATTCAGGAGTGTATTGTTTAGTTTCCATGTATTTGTAAATTTTCCAATTTTTTCTGTTACTGATTTCTAGTTTCATACAGAAAAGATACTTGACATAATTTTAGTCTTCTTGAATCTTGTTTTGTGACCTAATGTATAATCTATCCTGGAGAACGTTCCATGTGCACTGAGAAGAATGGGCATTCTACTGCCATTGAATAGTACCTGTCTGTTGGATCCGTTTGTTACATAGTGTTGTTCAGATCCTGTGTTTCCTTATTGATTTTGTGTCTGGATGACCTATTCATCATTAAGAGTGGGGTATTAAAGTCCCCTACGATTACAATGTTGCTGTTTATATCGCCTTTTTGTTTTGTTCGTATATACTTTATAAATTTGGGTACCGCAATGTTGAATACATAAATATTTACAGTTCTTATGTCTTCTTGATGATTGGCATCTTTATTATTATAATAACCTTCTTTGTCTCTTGAGATTTTTTTTTTTAATGTAGGCATTTACAGCTATAAATTTCCCTCTGGGCCCTGCTTTGGCTTCTCTGTCTCTTTTTTTTTTTTCAGTATGCTGTGTTTTAATTTTCATTCATCTCAAAGTATTTTCCATTTTCCCTAGTGAGTTTTTCGTTGGCCCCTTGGTTGCTTAAGAGTACGTCGTTTAATTTTCAAGTATTCATGAATTTTCCAGTTTTTCTTCTGTTATTGATTTCTGGCTTCCTTCTGTTGTGGTTGGGAATACACTTAGCATGATTTCAATCTTCTAAAATTTATTGAGAGTCTTTTATGACATAACATATGGTCTATCCTGGTGAATCTTCCATGTGCATTTATGTTTTGGTGTTGTTGGGTGCAGTGTTCTGTATGTTTGTCAGACTGAGTTTATTTATTGTGTTAAGTGCCAGTTAGGTAAAAAAAAAAAACAAAAAGTGAGGGTCATTGAGAAATCAGAGGCTGATTGACTAGACCTTGAATTTAGCTTGTATGACTATGAATTTGTGTTTTTGGGGGGTGAGATGGGGCTATTCTCTCCAAATTGATAGAGTATTGAGAATGGTTCTTCTGCTCAACAGACATTTTCTTTTAAAGTATGTTTACATTTTACATATTATTGCGTATCTATTCTGCAAGTTCATAGATCACAGAACTCTTGAGACTTTGGGCCTCTGTGTTTGTATCTTAAGAGGTGTAGGGACAAAAGGATGCTCTATGCTGTTTTTGGTTTGGAAAAACCACTGTGCGCGTGGCCATTATATGCAGTGTGATTGTAAACCTCACTTACACACGCAGTACTAGCTGCCACATTGGAGGTGAAGCTCTGTCCACGTATTTAAAATTTTGCATATTTGCTTCATATCAGAACTTTTAAAGCCATGCGTTAAAATAATTTCAGGAATATGAAATGCAAAAAACAAAAGAGGAAGAATTTCTGAAGTTATTTGATAGGTGGAAAGAAGAAGAAAAGGAGAAACTAGTTGGCGAAATGGAAAAAGTCAAGGAAATGTTTATGAAAGAGTTTAAAGAATTGACTTCCAAGAATTCAGCCTTAGAATATGTAAGTATTAAGCCAGAAAGTCCTCATAGTGGGGCGCCTGGGTGGCTCAGTCGTTGAGCGTCTGCCTTCGGCTCAGGTCATGATCCCGGGGTCCCGGGATCGAGCCCCGCATCGGGCTCCCTGCTCCGCGGGAAGCCTGCTTCTCCCTCTCCCACTCCCCCTGCTTGTGTTCTCGCTCTCGCTGTGTCTCTCTCTGTCAAATAAATAAATAAAATCTTTAAAAAAAAAAACAAAGTCCTCATAGTATTGGTAGGGTTGTTGCCTTGAGAAGTGGCATTAGAATGGCATTATGGCCCCTAGACATTACTTTACTGTGCCCAGACACACCTTCTCCCAAGAGTGCTGAGGGAGCTCGAGACATGCAGAAGACAGAGCAAGTCAGCAAAGTTGCATCTTTGAGAATGGGAGCTTTGGCCCCAAGTGCGTGTACAGAACACTTGATACATGTGAGGGGCAGGTGGCTGGCTCAGTCACTGGAGCATGGACTCTTGATCTCAGAGTTATGAGTTTGAGCCCCACGTTGTGGGTAAGGATTACTTAAAAATAAAAATAAAAAAATCTTAAAAAAGAGCACTTGGTGTATTTGGTACTTTGGTCAGATCATAGAAGAGGGTCTCTCTTTCCTTTGCTGTTTAGGTTTAGATAGCCATAAACCATAAACCCCTCCCTGAGTTTTGAAGCTTTCAGAGTTCGAGGGGAACTTTCTGGAAAGGCTGACACGAGTCACCACTGTGGAAGCCAACCCAGAAAGACAGAAGTAGAACCTTTTACCAGTTCCCTTCCTGATCCCAGGCCTGGCCAGTGAGGAGGACAGGGGGGTCTGAGCAAGCAGGATGTGGCTGAGCCTCCATCCCCTGTGGGAGCAACCTTGGTCCACACTGCCGTAGTCCCACGCGTAGACAGAGACACGCCTCGCTGGGGTGGGACCTCAAACTCTCTGACAGTGGCCGTTGTCTTCGGGCTAAGAATTTTACCTGAGCTGGATGGGCAGCTCAGTCATGCGGCACCCTTGGGGAAAGGAAGCAAGATCCTTGAGCTCCCTCTAGGGGACAAGCTTTGCAAACAAAAATGGAGGGATATTTTTGGAACACGGCTAAGGGCCTTCTCTAAAAACGCCTTGAACTTTTGCACAGAGGTTGGCAAACCACAACCTGTGAGCCGAATCTGGCTTACTACCCGTTTTTTGTATGACCAGTGAGCTAAGAAACGTTTTAATATTTCTAAATGGTTGAAAAGAGTCATAAAAATATTTCACGACACATAAAAATTACATGAAGTCCACATTTCCGTGTCCACAAATAAAGTTTTATAAGCACCCAACCACATGTGTTCCTTTACATTTTGTCCCCGGTGCCTTTGTGCAGGGGCCATAGAGCTGAGTGGTTATGACCAAGACCTTAGAGGTCTCCTGAAGCCGGAATACTGTCCAGCTCTTTACAGAAAAATCCTGCCAGCCCCGTCATATCTTTATAAAGCAAATGTGGCAACATGCTAACGATTGATTGAAATGGGTGTTCATTATACTATTCTTTCGATTTTTCTAAAAGTTGTAATTTGCAAATTTAAAAGCTGAGGGGAAATTAATGTGGATGGCGCATTGTGTCTTTTTTTTGCAGGGCTTCCTTTCAGGCAACTTCCTATTGGATCAGTTATTCTGTATCACCTCTTCCTGGTCATTGCTGGTCCTAAGCATCAGAGCGCCTAGACAGTAATTTCTCTATCCGTGGTTTCTTCTACAACTGCGGCCCCAGGGCCTGTCCTGCACTCCTATCCGTGGCTCAGAGCGGGGTGCCATATCGCCCGCTGGTGGATTGCAGTACTAACCAGCTTAAGACTGGCTTCTTGGGGGCGCCTGGGTGGCTCGGTTGTTGGTTAGTTAGGCGTCTGGCTCTTGATTTTGGCTCCAGTCATGATATCAAGGCTGTGAGATTGAGCCCTGCTTTGGGCTTTGCACAAGGCATGGAGGCTGCTTACGAGTCTCTCTCTAAAAAGACTGGCTTTTCACATCTTTGTCAAGGCCAGACACATTTTTTTCCCCTTGTTTCCTTCCCTTTTGCCTGAGAGTCCCTCCATGGTCCTTCCCCGTGCTCCCTGCCCCCAGGAGAAGAGTGGATTGGGACTTTTCCCCACATGGGATTTTTTTTTTAACCACTCCTGCTTTTTTTGGGTAAAAAAAGAACTTTATTGAGATTTAGCTTATAGACCATAAAACTCACCCACTTAGAGTATACAGTTCAGTATACAGTTCAGAACATTTTTAGTATGTTCGCAGAGTTGTACAACCATGCTCACAATCATTTCAAATGTTTCCTCACGCCCGGGAAGAAACCCTGTGACCATTGGCACTCCTTCCCACGAGCCTTTGGCAACCACACGTCTACTTTCTGCCTCTGCGGATCTGCCTGTTCTGGACGTTTCATAGGGATTGAAGCATACAATATGCGCTGTTTTTGAGCAGCTGCTCCCAGTTAGCGTAATGTTTTCGAGCTTCATCCCTGCTGTAGGGATGTGCCTGTCCCACTATTTCATGCCTTCGTCACTGCCACCTGACGTCCCGTTGCATGCGTGTCGCACTTCCTTTGTTCGTTCATCAGGTGACCACGTGTGGGTTCTTTGCCCTTTTTAGCTATAGATGGTTTTTAAGGTTATTATTTATAATAAACTTCATTTTTTAGAACAGGGACAGAAAAATTGAGCACCTGGTACAGAAAATGTCTTAGAAACCCCCCTCTCCTACCCCTGTACACAGTTTTCCATATTACTGGCATCCTAAATGAGTATGGTACATTTGTTTAGTTGAGGAACCCATATTGATATAGTAGTGTTAATTAAACTCCATACTTCGGTCCAACTTCTTTAGCTTTTGGCTAATGTCACTTTTCCATTCCAGGATCCTATCCAAGATGCCGCCTTGTATGTAGTTGTCCCATTCCCTTAGGCTCCTGTCTGAGATAGTGTCTCTGACTTGTTTTCAGTGACCTGGACAATTTTGAGTACTTGTCAGTAGGATCCCCCTCTACTGGAATTTATCCAGTAGTCTTCCCGTGCTTAGACCGGGCTTATGGGTTTGAGGCACAAAATCCTCGGAGATAAGACATGATTTTCATCACATCATACCAAGGGGAATACTTTCTTCATGATTTATGATTGTTGGTGTTGACCTTGATCACCTGGCTGAGGTAGTGTTTGTCAGTTTTCTCCACTGAAAAGTTACCCCTCCCATTTCCTACTGTACCCTTTGAAAAGAAGTTGCTGCCTTCCGCCTCGATTTAGGCAGGGGAACTATGCTCCCCACCCTTTTATCAGTTAGCATATTAGCTTCTGTGATTTTTCTGGGGGTTTTTACCACTGGTGACTTTGGGAATAACATAATGAGCAAAAGGCAAAATTAAAACCCCATGTCCCTAATGGATTCATCGGCACAGTTGCTGGACGATGCTGGCCTTAGCACCAGTTATCGTGAGAACCAGCTGCCCCCGCTTCCTCTGTTTCTGGCAACTGTTATGTGCCCATCAGAAAACGTAAGACCCATTGTATAAAATTAGAAAGTCAAGTTTTCCTCTCCTTTTTTCACCCTGTGCATGTTCTGTTGGAAAAACTGGAAAGCAGTAGAAAGGACACTGGAAAACCCCAGGTGGGAGAAGTAGGAGAAGCAGAGCAAGCCTCTAGTAGGACAGTGAGATTTAACAGGGGCTACGGCGTTCCCCGATTTCACTCTCTGCCTGTTTTCATCTTATAACGGTACAAACATCTGTGCCAGTGGGTTTGCCTCTTATTTTCTAGCAATTGTCAGAAATCCAGAAGTCCAGCATGCAGATCAAGTCCAACATAGGCACGTTGAAGGATGCACACGAATTTAAAGAAGAACAGCCTCAATATCCCCAGGATTTCCAAAATGTGATGCAACTTCTTGACAGTCAGGTACGAACCCGCGGGCCGTCACTGTAGGAGGGGCCTGATTTTAATTAGTGAAGCAGTTTACAGCAAGCATGACCTACAGAAAAGGGGTTTGTCTCTTGTCAGTGACCATGAAGCTAATTCTTTCCTTCTTGTCTCCAGATACATAATAATAGGTGTTCATTCGACGCTTGTTGATTGACTAATCGATGTAGATATAGACCAGTTGGCAAAACTGTTTCCTTCTTTGCTAACGTGGCAGCACCTTGAATTGTTTGGCATTACCTTAGAGTTTATTTTTCGTATTTCGTATTTCAGACATAGGTCCCATTTTCAAAAGACGTAGAAAGACATGCTGAAGCACTGACTATTTTTAGAGTGTAAATATATGGCTACATTGGTGTACTGATGGTCTTTCATTTATCAAACGTAATTGCAGCAGCCCTCTGTAGTCAGCGGCCATTCCGGCAATTTTCATCATACTAGTTTAGGGGAACATTGTTTTTTCACTGGGAAACAAATAGAGATCAAAGTTTATAAATTCAGGACTTTGTTAAAAAAAAAACAATAACATTTAAAAAAAAAAGTGTGTTTTTGAAATACAGACGACTGCTTCCTTTGCATACTTTGCCGCTCATGCCTTGCCCCCCTCCCCCCAGTCCACCTTCCACCTTGCAGCGAGGCTGACCACCTCACTGCCCCGTCTTATCCTGACCAAGTCCGGGATCCTCAGCCGGTAGTCAGAGTCCCTGAGGATCTGCACCCTGGGTCATCCCCCACCATTCTTGGCTTTACCTGAAAGATCCCAGCTGCCCTGAACAGCTCCTGGCTCCCAGAACACGGCCTTCTGTGTTTTGCTTTTGCCTTTGTGGCTTTCTCTGTCATGCCCTTCTCTGCTTTTCAGGACCTCTGGCTTACTCCTTCAGCTGGGGCGACACCTCTTCTAGAGAGTTCTCCTGGACCTCTGGGTTGTTGCATTTCTGTAGCCGCCCTCCCCCCGCCCCCAAGCAGCACCCGCTCACATACACATTGAGAGGGGGAACTCTCTGTTAAATCTGCTTTCCTCCTGTGCAGGGCAGAGTGCGTCTCCCCTGGTCCTCCCCTCGCTGGCCGCGGCAGTCCAGCAAGGTCCCTGGGACGTGGTAGGGGACCAGGAATCATGTCCAGTACTGAACTGTGCAGAGTTGCTCCCCGCAAGCTGGTCTCTCAGGAATTGAAAGACCCGATTACAGAATCCCAAGGCCCCACCTGCATTTCTTGTTTCCTTCCTCTGAACTGTGTTGTCAGATTAGAACCCCAGGCCTCAGAAACCTCGGTGTTGCCTCTTAGCTCCTTAGATTGGCTCACTGGCATGTATTCTTGAAAATAGTATTTTAAGGGGCGTGTGGGTGGCTCAGTCGTTAAGGGTCTGCCTTCGGCTCAGGTCGTGGTCCCAGGGTCCTGGGATCGAGCCCCGCATCAGGCTCCCTGCTCAGCTGGAAGCCTGCTTCTCCCTCTCCCACTCCTCCTGCTTGTGTTCCCTCTCTTGCTCTGTCTCTCCCTGTCGAGTAAATAAATAAAATCTTTTAAAAATTTTAAAAAAATTTTAAAAAAACAGTATTTTATTGGAACACAGCCATGCCCACCCACTTATGTATTATTTATGGATGTTCTCCTACTGCTAGTAGTAGCAATCGAACCAAGTGGCCTCCAGAGCCCAAAATATTTACTATTAGCCCCTTAGCAGAAAATGTTTGCTGACCCCTGCCAGAGTTTAAGATTAAAACCAAGTGCAAATGTTTTTAAACATTTTTGAGGCTTTATAGTCTAAAAAAAAAATGCCTGCTAAAATGTCACCAAGGAGGTAGTTGCGTTCCATAGGTACCCACTAAAAAGCTTCCATTTCGAGTCGATTTTATTGCTGCAACTGCACATAAATTCCTCTGGTTTTCCTGTGTCGTAGGAAAGCAAGTGGACGGCCCGAGTTCAAGCTCTTCATCAAGAACACAAGAAAGAGAAGGGCCGGGTAAGACTAAGAAGCCAATGGTCTGTCAGTGGGTCATTTTTGAAAAGAATATATTTTTTTCCTCTATGACAAAGGTAGAGAATAAAATTTGTGGAGAAACGTGTGACAAAAATTAAAATTGCTTGTAATTCGGGGCACCTGGCTAGTTCAGTCGGTTAAGCGTCTGCCTTCGGCTCAGGTCATGATCTCAGGATTCTGGGATCCAGCCCCACATCAGGCTCCCTGCCCCGAATTATAAGCAATTTTAAGCCTGCTTCTCCCTCTCTACCCCTACCCCCTACTCGTGCTCTCTCTCTCTCTCTCTCTCTCTCTCTCCCTCTTTTAAATAAATCTTTAAAAAAATAAAATTACTTATAATTCAATAACCACTGCTACGACTTTGTTATAATTTTTTTCGGTCTGTGTCCTGTGCCTTAAATATTGTGTTTCTGTATTATAGAAACCCATACATGTAGTCTTACAAATTTTGAATCATGCTTTATAACTGTATATGCTTTTTGCTTAATATATCATAAACATTCTCCTGTTTTAAAATAGTCATCAAAGTCGTGATTTTTTTAATGGCTGGAGAAGGATCTTATGGATGTTTCATAAGTTATTTAGTGATTCCTTCATTGTTGAACACATCATTTCTGACTTTTCCACCTTGCAGTATGGCAGTCGCAATAAAGAAAGGCAGGGATTGCTCACGTTAAAATCATTTTAATGAAAACAGTTTGATGATATTACTGCTTTTCAGCTGAGTGCATCACAAATTGTGAAAGTGTTTACACCGGTGTAGAAAACCTAAAGTACTTTTATTTGAGATTTTAAGATAGGGAAACTTCCATGTCTTTTTCCACTTTGTCTATATTTTGTAGTCCTTTGTGTCCCCTGTGTCTTAGCCTGGTCGGCTGCTATAACAAAATACAGTAGACCGGGTCGCTGACAAACAGACATGTATTTCTCATAGTCTGGGGCTCTGGGGATCGAGCAGAGAGTTTGTAAAGTGAGGTCGTGGCTGTCTGTGGGTATAAGGCCTGTGTTTATTTCTCCCTCTGAGCTGCAGATGGGCTAGCCAGCTTTGGACCTGATATCTCCGAGGCTTCCTGAGTGTAACATGTCTCAGATGATGTGCTTTTCCTTTGTCCAGTGGCGTCCGGGTTGGAGCGGTCAGGTGCCCGCCTTGAGCCCCAGCTGTCCCTCGTGCCCAGCTCCTAGCCATCGGCAGGGCCTTCCACGTGTCTCATATCCGTGTTCTTCTGCACATTTCCATTGCTCTTCCCTTCCACCGAGCCCCTGCCGTTTCTAAAAGGACCCCGTAACTGGTCTCCCAGTTCCAACCTACCCCTTTCCCAATTGCCCTCCAAAGAGCAGACAAGACCCTCTGGCTGCCGGCCACCACTGCGGTCTCATCCAGATCCTCTCTCTGGACCTGCTCTTTCTGACTACCCTAGCCTTCCGGTCACTTAGAGAACATGCCGGCCTTTTTCTCTTTCCACACAGGGTTTGTGCTGCTGGGATGTCCTTCCATTTGCTCTTCACATGGCTGGCTCCATCCCCTCTGTATTAGTGTAGCGAATTACCAGCAGTTGGCCACCTCAGTGTCCATGGGCTAGGAGGCCAGGCACTGCCTGCCCGGGTCCTGTGCACAGGGTCTCACAGCTGCCCTGGGGGGTGTCAGACGGGCTGTGTTCTCATCCGGGGCTCAGGGTCAAACCAAGCGTTGTTCAGGTTGTTGGCACTATGCGGTTCCTTCGGGTTCACCGTAGGATCAGGACCCTTAGCTCCACAGCTCACTCCCCGGCTGTTGACTTGGTTAAGGCCAGCAGGGGGGCGGCTGGCCCAAATAAGACAGGCCCACGCAGGTAATCTTTCTTCTCCTTAACTCAGACTCAGCAGATGAGGGACTTTAATTGCATCTGTCAAGTCCCCTCACTCTTGCTGTATTGTGTGGGGGGGAAGCACATCTTAGATCCCACCCAGCCCATGTCTTGGTCTGCTCACACTGCTATAACAAAGTGCCACAGACCTGGTGGCTTTAAACAACAGACATTTCTTTCTCACTGTTCTGGAGGCTGGGAAGTGGCTGTCCTCTCTGTGTGTCTTCATGGAGCAGGGAGAGAGGGAAAGAAAGCTCTTTGGTTTCTTCTAAGAGCACTAATCCCATCATGAGGACCCTACCCTAATTCATCCAAACCTAATCACCTCCCAAAGGCCCCACCTCCTAATACCATCACATGGGGGATTAGGGCTTCAACCTATGAGTTTGGTGGAGAGGCGCAAAGACACTCGGTTCATAACTCTGCCAAGGGAAAAGGATTATACAGGGCGTGCACTTTGGGGATGCAAACTTGAGGGCCATTTAGAATTCTGCCTGCCTCAGCCCCCTCTGGTCTCGGCTTCTAAGTCACCCGACACCATCTCAGTAGGTAGCCCCCCCTCCCTTACTGTTCCCACCACTTCACACGTGTAACTCTGATCACTGTCTCACATAGTTATTTGATTATGTATTCACTTGTTTATTGTGTGTCTCTCCAGCCGGATCACTAGCCCTATGAGGGAGGGGCTCTATTTCGTTTTTTGTTGTATTCCCAGCATCGACTAACGTACCCAAAATGTGATTTGGTGTTCATTAAATATTTGTGGAACAAGTGTGGAAGGTGGCTATTCGGCCTCCAAGGGGATTGTTCAACCTTGCTTTTGTGGGTGGAGAAATGCTGAGCGTAGGGTTTAGAAGAGCAGGGTTGAAAGAGTTACCTGTTTATATGAGCATGGTATTTGAACCCAGGTCCTCTTAAACTCAGGGTCTTGCTTGTCAGCCTTGTTGCCTTGCTCACGTGTCAGGCTTGAGGCACTGAGCCAGCTCGCAAGGAGAATAGGAAGTGACAACTTAGAGGAGTTGCTTTTCTGGGAAAATGTTCGAGCATCTCTTGGAGATGTTCTAAGGTAGTAGTTTCAAACCAGGGACACACTTCAGAATGACCAGTGGCTCTTTCCCAAAATACACATCCCAGTGCCACTGCCCGAGATTCTGATTCAGTCTGGGGTGCGGCATGCGTATTGTAGTTTTGCGGGGGAGCACCAAACCCCAGATGATTTCTGCTTTGTAGCCACAGTTTGAACCACTGCCCTTATAATTTGAAGTTCTACTCTAACCCTTCAAGGCGTCTTCTAGCATTGGTATCTAGGGACAGAATTCAGGCTTCCTGACAAGTAGGGGAGGATGTTTAGTCCTTGCTCCTCTAAAGCCTCTGGTGTTCCAGACCGGCGTGGGAACTGTCGGTTCAGGGGCCCTCTGGCAGGAACAGAATGCAAGTGGCAGATTTGTACGCTTGGCCACCATAAGTCATGATGGAAGGACTGCCTGGTGGCGGGTTGGAGGAAGGAGGAGAGGTCTTCCCTGGTTCTGAGTAAGGCGAGCTGCCCTGCGTCTTGGGTGTGTGGAGGTTTCGTGCTGCCACTAGGCTACGCTGCTCCATGTCTGTCATTGCTGGTTTTGCTAGCTCGGAAGCTGCCCTCTTCTTCCTTAATTTCTCTTAAACCCAAACAGAGGGGAGAATTCGATGAGGTTTAGTAATCTCTGCCTGAGACCTAACTATTAATTATTCCACATGATTGCTGCCTACTGGTCCTACAATGCACATATTGTGTTTCTCTGTTTAAGGGAAGTTGCGATTGCCAACTTTTTATTGCTTTACCTAGGTTCTTGGCAGTCTTTTTTTTTTTTTTAAATAACATTGGTAGGAGTTCAAAGGGAGTTACAGATAAACGATGGCATGCCATTTTGACCTGACAGAAGACTCCATGGAGCCTGGGAGCCTGTAAGGTGGTCACGTAACGGAGGGAAAGAACACAGTACTTGAAAGGACAGGAGGTCACAAGTAACGGGCTCGAGGGCCACAAACTTTCTGAAATAATTTCTGGCTATCCCTTGCTTAGATTATCACATTCCTCTCTCAGCAAACTCCTTTCTGTGCTTTTCTGGTCTGTTCTCAAGTCCAGTATCGAAATGTTGCTCTCCCTTAGGGTTTCCTGTGTCCCTTTCTTCTGGGGGGTCTGGAATGACTTCACATATTGTTGATCCTAAACTTCCATCCCAAGCCCTGGGCATTTTCACTGGCTTTTCCTTCTATTTTCCAGCTCAGCATGTTCCAAACTGCTTTGGGGTCCTCTTCCCGTGGTCTGTAAAAATGTAGGGAAGGTTCTTAACAGCGTTCTCCTGGGGGAGATTCTTGGCATCCACTAGGATATGAAAGGTTCTTTTTATTTTTATTTTACTTTTTCTTAAGATTTCATCCATTTATTTGAGAGAGAGAGAGAGAGCACGAGCAGGGAGGAGAGGGAGAAGCAGGCTCCCCGCGGAGCAGGGAGCCCGATGCGGGGCTCGATCCCAGGACCCCGGGATCACAACCCGAGCCGAAGGCAGACGCTTAACCGACTGAGCCGCCCAGGCGCCCCTTTGGCGACTTATTTCTACTTGATTGTTTGCAAGTGCTGTTTACTAAGATGTTCCGTGACTTAGTCCCTAAATTTGAGAGCAGTTACTTTGAAGCCAGAGGGGAGGAAGGTTCGGGTCTGGGCTCCTCCCCTCCCGCCGTCTGAGTTCAGACCATCTACTTAACTCTGCTCTAGACCTGAGTTCCCTTACCTGTACCGTGGCATCAAAACATGCATCCATAAGGCTGTGGTGTGGCTACAACAAGCTGAAGTGCTCGGTGAGGGTTTGAGCCAAGCAAGTCGGGAGGTGCTGCCTCCCGCACCCTCTGTCCTCCTCAGAGGCGCCCTCGCCACCGCCCCCTCGGCCCAGTCTGCAGGTCGCCTCCCTTCCAGGCTGTAGGCTGGGAATGCCCTGAGTTCCAGTGACCCACATGTTTTTCCCCTCGGTGTAAGCGACTAGTGAAATTGTTCTAAGAATCTTTGCCTAAATCATTGAAAACAAATTCTTCTTGAATCTTTTTTTTAATGTCCAGAATATGATCTTTCCTGACATGAAGTCTCTGAAGATGAATCTGTCTATGAATCTTAGGATCTTCCTGTTCTCTGCGTCCCTCTCTCCCTCTTCCCTTTTTCCACCTTCCTTTTCTCAGGAAGGATTTATTGAGGTTGCACTTAGTCACTGGACATATAGATAACGAAGGAGGGCTCTCTAGGCAGGCGCATGGGGACGCCTGAGGGGCAGGCTGGCGCAGGGTTACGGCCGCTCTGTGGGAGCGCCCCGATGCTGGACAGTGCTCATCCCTGCGGTGTGTCATGTGCTGTGCTCAAGTGCACACAGCCGTTCACCTTCTCAGTGCTGTGTCTTGGGTCACGAGCTCCCTGGGAGCAGAGGTGAAGCCCTTGTACAGCTGAGGTCTTGGTACGCAGTGACCAAAGATGTATTCAGTGACTTGACGGTGCACAGATAACCTGAGGCCAGCCAAGAACACGGGGTGTGTGCATACAGACAGCGGGATGGAGACATTGCGCATGCGGTTTGCAGACGGACGCCTTTATTTTTTTTTTCCAGCTCTTGTCACATATAGAGAAACTTCGAACCTCCATGATAGACGATCTCAATGCAAGCAATGTTTTCTACAGGAAAAGGATAGAAGAGCTAGGGCAGAGACTCCAGGAACAGAATGAACTGATTATCACGCAGAGACAACAGGTATTTTTGGCTAGATATTAGCCCTGTTTTTCTTCAAGCAGTGCAATTCGTCGAAGAATGTTCTGTCTTATTTTAGAGCATTTGTAAGTTGGGTAAGATAAAGGAGGAGAATATGTTCTTCCCTGTGGTTTGTAAAAGTAAATCCAATAAGATAATTTTTTCAAGGTATTTTTTTTAAACTGTAAAGAGCAAGCAAATTTATTCAATTAGAATTTAGAATAAATTTGAAGGTAGAGAAGAATTTCTTTCTGTGATTACTTTGAGAAGCAGCCCAATCCAAATGCTACTTTTATACGATTTTTGCCTTCATATCTTTAAAGTCCATCTGTCCTCTGTCTTTGGAGGACTTCCATGAAAAGGTTAATTTAACTAAATACAGTATCTGTCCATCATCTAGTATGTCCCTATCTAGTTTCAAACTTGTATCATTAAAAAAAAAAACAAAACGGTTTTTCTTTGCAGATTAAAGAGTTTACCAGTAAACCATTAAACAGCGTCACTGAACCCAAAGGTAAGTGAACCAGGATCCCAGTGTTGGAGGTGAGGCAGACCTCCCTAACCGTACACCAGACATCAGAAGAATGTGGGGCCCCTGTCAGCTTCCGGGCACGATCATGGCATTCCTGTGGTGATTTTAATTTGAGTGACCGTCCCCTTGATCCAGAAAGTAGAAGAATTTTTAAATACCTTGACTGTCATTGAAGGGTCTTACATATTTTTTATCGGAATATCTGTATGCACAAAATCCATGTTCAGTAACCATACCTCTGGACTGACGTGTGATGAGGGGGAGTAACCGTTAAAAGCGCTCGGTCTAGAGACAGACTGGCCTCAGTGTAGCTCTGTGAGTGTCTGCCTTCATTTCCTCAGTTCTAGAGTTGGAGCATTAAGAGTAACTACCTCACATCACAGGCTTCTTATGAGGACTAAATGGGGAACATATATATAAAATGCACCTGTTGAACACTCATGGGGGTGAGCCATCCTGAAGGACCCCAACCTCAGTTACTCTTATGTACTGTACGGGCTTGCTGCGTCCTTGTCAACTGAGGCAGTTGGGGGTTAAAGGTTTGTTCTAAGCATAGTGGGGGCATCCAGCCTACTGACTGTGGCAGCAATAACCACCCATCTCCTGCTCCCTCAGGAGCGAGTCTAGAAGGGAGACTGGAGCCAGAAGTGCATGCAGGGTCTCCCAGTAAAGCATACAGCTTGCCTTTGCCTGGACTCCTTTTGAATAACCCAACTCGTGGTTCCTACTCATCTCAGGTCATTAAAGGATACTTGTCCACTTGGGCACCGACTGGGGATTGGTAATGGGTGTGTGAGCTGCGTTTCCTTCTTGTTTCTAGGGGCCCCGCAGGGGGTTCATTGACCTACATACTTGGTTCCTTCTTGTTTTGAAATAAAGGTTTGAGAAGGGCCAGTTTCCCTGTAACTTCTCTTCGAAATAGCGAGAGTTCGGGTAGTGAGCAATAGCTGTATAATTACTGAGCATAAATATTTGAGTGATAATAATTTTAGGGAAAAGTTTTATAAGGATTTACATTAAACTCAGTCTTTACTCAGCTGGGTGAGTCACCATATGTTGGTAAATTTTGTTTATTTTTTTCTGGGAGAAAAGATTAAGATAAGCACTGGCAAAATATAACCCGTAACTTGTGATTTTTGTCATTAATTAATTTTTTTTTTTAATTTCAGGGAATCCTTCAACCTGGCAAACTTTTGAATCTAAGCCAACTGCCCCAGCTGTACCTAGTAAGTTTCTATAAAAGACTCAGGATTCTGAAGATATTTTTAAAGTGCTAAACCAATACACAACTTATTATTTTTAGAGGCTTTCTTTTGAAAAGCCGTGTGTTTGGAGATTACATAATGATCTATTTTGATTCCTGGCTTTGACCTAGTTCTAAAAGCCCAAGACTGTAAATATCCATGTGATTTTGTTGTGATTTTGGTTAGCCATACCTATTATTCTCAGTTCACCTAATCAAGGTACAGCTATAAATTCTTTGGCATTGCTTCAGTTTGTACTTGTGGGTTTCCCAAGACATTACACTGTGTGACGATGTGACAGTGTGGTGGCCGCCACATTTTAGCATCCCTGAGACTCAGATTTGCAGGCTTTGACCTGATGTTCTGTCAGTTGCTCACTTGGGGTGGACACAGCACGTCTGTCTCTTGGAGCCGTCAGGATTTGGCTATAATCCACAAAGACATTATCTGTACAGTGTAGAAATGGACAGATTGTTTTCCTAATAATAGTTAAATAGTTGAAATATTTTTATTCTTTTATTATTCCATTCGGGAAAGCATAAGGGTGGAGGAAGCTAGGGAGCAAGCAGTCCTGGGCAAGAGAGGACGTGCGTGTGAACGGGAATCTGAATACCAGGGGAGGGTCCAGGCTGAGGTGACGGTACCATTCATATGGGCCCCAGGACCGTAAACTATGAGAAGGCATTGATGAGTGGGTTTGGGAATTTGGCACAGTCGACTGGAAAATGCTAATGGTTTTAGCTGCTCAGTCTTCTCAGGTGCTTCTGGGGACCTCTTTTTCTTTAAGATTTATTTGTTTATGAGAGGAGAGAGAGCTGGGGGAGTGGCAGAGGGATAGGGAGAGAGCCTCCTCAAGCAGACTCCCCGCTGAGCGAGGAGCCCAATGCAGGGGCTATCCCAGGACCTGAGATCATGACCCAAACCAAAATCAAAAGCCTGGTGCTTTACCGACTGAGCCACCCAGGCACCCCATTTCTGGAGGCCTCCTGATGTTGCTTCTGGAAGCTGAAGAGTTTGAGAATTGCTAAGGCGGGAAGGGCAGTTTAGTCCCAAGAGTAGGGCTGAGGGAATAGTAGAAGCCAGGCTTATGTCTTATGGAAAAAAATACATTTCACAGAAGGATGGGAAGGTTAAAAGGCATTAAATTGCTATTGTTCATACCTTATTTAGACTTGGCACAATATTGAAACAATATTGTGTTCCAATAAAATTTTATTTACAAAGACAAATGGTGGGCTAATATGTCCTATGGGTTATACTTTTGCAAACCTTGATCTAGATTATGTAAGTTGCAAATGGTTTTGAGGGTCTTACATTTCCAGAATGGTTAGCAATTTATGCACAGTTAGGAGCTGAACACCTTTGCCAGTGGTCTTTGTAAAGACAAAATATATGCCTGCGGAGGAGGCTGAGGTTTGTGGCCAGTCTTTTTCAGAGCAAGAGTAGATTTAAAGATCTACTGTAATAAGCTAGTAAAAGAGAAAACTAACATGGTCCAAAGAGGAACCATGACACAAATGTTCATACCAGCATTATTCATAACCGATGAAAAGTGGATACAACCCAAATGTCCATCAGCTAATGAGTGGATGTATAAAATGTGGTCTGACCATACAGTGGAATGTTATTTGGCCATAAAACTGCATGCTGGGGACACCTGGGTGGCTCAGTTGGTTAAGCATCTGCCTTCGGCTCAGGTCATGATCCCAGGGTCCTGGGATCAAGTCCTGCATCAGACTCCTTGCTCAGCGGGGAGCCTCCTCCCTCTGCCTGCCGCTCCCCCTGCTTGTGCTCTCTCTCTCACACACACAAATAAATAAATAAAATCTTAATAAATAAATAAATAAAACTGCCCGCTGATGCTGACATACTACATACAACAGGGATGAACTTTTTTTTTTAAGTGGTCCTTTTTTTTTTTAAGATTTTATTTATTTATCTGACAGAGACACAGCGAGAGAGGGAACACAAGCAGGGGGAGTGGGAGAGGGAGAAACAGGCCTCCCCGATCGATGCGGGGCTCGATCCCAGGACCCTGGGATCATGACCTGGGCCGAAAGCAGACGCCCAGTGACTGAGCCACCCAGGCGCCCCAACATGGATGAACTTTGAAAACGTGATGCTAAGTGAAAGAGGCCAGTGACAAAGGACCACAATGTATGAGTCCATTCTATATGACATGTCCAGAACAGGCAAACCCATAGAGACAGAAAGTAGATCCGTGGTTGCCAGGGGCCGTGGGGAGGCAGATGTGGGGAGTCATGGCTAATGGGTGTTTTTAGCATGTGTGATGAAACTGTTCTAAAATTAGGTAGTGGTTATGGTTGCACCACTCTGATTATACTAATTGTATACTTAGAGTTGTATATTTTATATTGAACTGTATATTTTAAAAGGGCAAATTATATCTTAATAAAGCCGTTACAGAGAATTGGTTTGGGTTAGCCGGTGATCGTCACTTGAAACATGTGTCCCTTGCGATTTGTATATAGCTTGACTAATTTGAGGAGGACTGGATCATCATCAAGTTGAGATGCTTATGCTTTCGTTACGGAAGGCTGTGAGCTTTTTCTCTTTCTGCTGTTTCAGTGAGTGCCTCAGCCGTACAGACTGTGGATGCTAAATCAGGTCTCACAATGGCACATGGTAAGTTTCAGCTAAGTCTCAGCATTTTATGTGCAGTTTCTGCCCTGAGTCAGAGAACTTATTAACCACAAGTGCTTCTGTGGGATAACTATGCAAAACAGAAGACGTTTTAGTGAATGCAGAGCAGTTAATAAAACTGCTGTCTTCATATGTAATATTATCATAAACTGTGGACATACCTGCCAAAGTCATAAAGTAAAAAATGTACATGTTGCTAGACTCACAAGCAGAGATCTTAACGTTGAGCAGTACTTTGATTGTGTATGATTTTGGGTGGAGAATAGTAGGTGTTGGGTTAAGAAGGTGATTTTCTACTAGACCAGCCAACCAGCACATGCCACAGGGCATACATGACTGTTTTTATAACTTTCAGTGAGGCAGCAAGTCACCTTTTTTAAGCAAACAGTTTCAGCGATTGGTTGGAAAACTCTAGAGAAGACATGTGATGGAAACCAAAGGGAAAAGTGGGAGCCAGGGGAGGAGAGCACTGCCAGGAATCAGTTCCTGGACCAGGGCACAAGGGTGGTAATTGTTAAGTACGTGATCCAGTAGACAGGGTGGATATCAGTAGCCATATTTTATTTTTATACTGTTAAGGCACTTACGGTTTTTGCAAGTATGTTTTTAGTCCATTGTCTGCCTATGGTCTGCTATGTATTAACTGAATTAAAAGATGGGAGGGGACCGACTTTTTCTGTCTTACCTACAAATGCTTCTGGAATGTAAATGATTACTTCATTCCATTTTGCTTTTTAGCCTTCGAGTTAGACTTAAATCCACAGTCAGTCAAGTCAGACTCTGTTCAGAAATATTTTTCATATTAGCGTGGCCTCCTGTACCCATTCTTTTTCTTCACTGGACGGACTCATGAAGGTGTTTATTGCCCCTTACTTTTTGTTCTGAGGTCATTTCAGGCAGGGCAGTACCCCTGAGCGTGTGTTCGCACTATGTAATGCGTAAACTCCCCACTTATTCGGTGTTAGTATTTACAAGTGTTTAGAACATACAGGTGTCCTCTTTCTGGACCAGCGACAGACGTAAAATGTGTGGGGGACCTATGGAAATTTGCTTTAATATTGAATAGACAAGAAAATGTCCCCTGGCAAGTGCTCTCTATTCACATTCTTTATGTCGGGTCTAAAATCTCTCTCTTGCCTTCTTTTTCAGGGTTGAGTTTTCTAATGCATTGCTGGCCACTTCTCTGTACTTCAGCAGTGTGTTTCTTTTTCTTTTTTTGCTACTTTGTTATCATTAGCCTTTTGTGTGACAGTATATGAGGACTACCTTTTCTTTGCTTCATATTTTTGGCACCCAATTAAGGACTCCTATAGCAGGCATGTTTAGCTGTCTGGAGTTGATTCAAGAGTCCTGACCAGTCCATCAGTTCCAAAGCACTGTGTTCCTTACGGACTTTGCCCTGATTGGAGCTGCGCTGTGTGAACCAGCCATGTCCCCTTGCTGGCATCTGCTGGGATTAAAATGCTAGCTTTAAATGCCAGCCAGACCTGGCATGAGGCCTGCGGCCTTTGGATTGGGATCTGAGCTGATTTGTGAGCATCTCAATGGGCAGGAGCAAGGAGGAGGCTTGTACGGGGGGCCCACTGACCTGGCCCCCCCACCCCCAGCCATGGCAGTGTCCCCAGCAGTAGGGGGCGGGGAGCCTTAGTCTGTATTACGTAACATTATTTAGCCCGATTACCTCTCAATCTTTCCTTTTGTTCCGTCCCAGAGCTTGATGAGGCTCTTCACCATGAAAAATGTCACTGTCTTAGGTTGGGTTCCCCGGGAACCAGACTCTGAGGTGGAGGTTTGCAGCTGGGAGGTCTACTGGGCCGTGCTCTTGGCCAACCCCTGTGAGAGAAACAGGAGTGGGTGGAAGGGGGCACTGAACCCAGACACACTGCAGTGCAGGCCTCTGCACATCTCACTGGGAGCTGGGATGGGCTCCTCAGCATCGTCCTGCATTTTAGGGATCAGTTACAAGATGGGGGTTGTCAGGGGTGTAGGCTGCTCCCCTCCCTTGAGACAAAGCAAAAAGTAGAAGCAAAAGGTCAGAGGAAAGCATGAGATGGGGATGAGTGGTGCAGATGAATTATTTGGCTGAGCATAGGGTAGGCAGAAGAGACTTGAGGGAAGCGAGGCTGGTTGAGACCGTTCATGGAGAGTACCCGGTACCAGCCTCTCGCTGGTCGGGTCGTTCTTGTGACATTCTGTAGCTGTAGAACATTCATGTTCTTGAAGCTGGGCGGCGTGGCCAGACAGGAGGGCTGGGCTTGGGGAAGCTCAGCCTGACCAGAGTGTACTCAAAGATTTAGAGCTGGACAGACCAGCTGGGGATCGAGGAATGGTCTCTGGGTGATTCTTCACCTAGGAATTGGGGTTGAGGTTTTGAAACGAGGGGGCAGACATACCAGCTGTTGCATGGAGCTGATGGAAAGGTGCAGGTGCAGGTGATTCAGGCAAGGGTGAGGGAAGGGTTAAGAACACCATGAGCTCACGGAGACAGTGCCATGTAGAGAAGTCCGGGAGACAAACGCAGAAATTGCCAGTAGGAAGGCACTATGGCTTCCTGGCCAAGAGCCTAGACTTTGGAAAGGAAGCAAGCAGTCTGGGTTCACAGTTGACTCATGAAGCCATAGGTTTGGGTTTCCTTGCCTGCCAAATGGGGAGAACAGTAACGGCTACTTCGGTGGGCTGTGCTAAGGATCAAATGAAGCAGGACCTTTGGAACAGGAGCCACTGAGCAAGCACTGGCCATTGTTGGCCTCTGGGGTCAGGCTGACAAAGTCCAGTGCCAGAGAGGGCTGGGTACAGCCAGCCAGTGCCAGAGAGGATTGGGTACAGACCTGGGAGTTCGTCTTCTGGAGGGAATGGTAGGGCACTGACAAGGATTTTTCTGGAAGCCTCTGGAGAGTTCAGAGGGGAGAGACTTGGGTCTTCGAGTATATCAGCTCAGCCTGGATATCTCAACTTGGGACAAGACCTGGGTCATTTGGAGGCTGGGCCTGTGGCTTATAAAGCATACGAACGCAGGCCCTTCACTCCACACTTGGACATCAGTCTGCTAGTTTAGAGCTGAAATCTGGCGGACCTCACTCCCTTTATAGCCTTTATAGTAGGAGCCCAGTTTCCCTCCCCTAGAGCTCCACCCTCTGCCTCCTAGCACCAAAGGTCACAATTTGTTTCGACTCAAGAGAAGTCCTAGGACTATCCTTATAATGATAACAAATATGTATATGATGGTTTGGGGAGATTTTATAGAGCTTTTCCTCCTAACTTTATTTTTGTCATTTCCATAAAATACAATAAAATATAAATCATGTGACTTAAAAAATTGAAATTAGCTAGCCTCCTAAAATCCCTATTTTCAGCAGTTCAAACTAGTAAATAGTCTCTTTGTATAACTTTACTTTTTAATTTTTTAATTTTTTATTGAGATATAATTGACCTATAACATATTAGTGCAGGTGTACAACATAATGAGTCGATATTTATATATGTTGTGAAATGATCACAGCAGGATCTAGTTAACATCCATTACCACATATAGCTACAGGGTTTTTTTTCTTTATTTATATAACTTTAAAATCTTGATGCTGAATAACACATTTGAAAGCACATTTTTAATGTTCAGTAGTTGTGGTGCATGGATGGAATTAAATGCTTCTTTGTGCGATCATGTTCATGTTTCAAAATTAAAGTGGACTGCTATGTCCTAATAGGCTGTGTTCCAAATGTTCATTGGAAAGCAGTTTAAAAATGCTTTTCTCCCAGTCAATGTTAGATAGATTGACTAGGTTGCTAACAAGCTGTAGGAGCCTATTTATGTGTACTTAAATATAATATATATTTATTTATTTGTGTATACCTGTGTGTGCGTATGTTTGTAGATGCCCTAAAACAGAATTAGAAATATCCTTCGGTAAATTAAAAGCTAGAACTTCAAAGTGGGAGGTGCTAAATCTAAGCTAATACGTGCAAAGCGTGTCATCTTGTGCCCAACACGCTGGGGGGAGACTACCCTCGCTGGTTGCCCACTGTGGGGTCTGGTGTGGAGTGGAATGGCCTCCTCCCTTGTAGCTGCAGGTGGGGAGCTCCCTGGGGAGGGGCCCCATGGCAGTCTCCAAGCCAAAGGTGAGTGAAGCACGCACTTCCTCAGCTAGATTTCCGATTGCGTTTTATCCCAATGTCTGAAGCCTGACTGCCTGACTGCCAAAAGCTGACCTTCCCCAAGTAGGAACTTCCCCCTTGATAGGATGGCGTTTGGCTTTATCCATGCTGCCTGTGGATTTCCCTGAGCCCCAGTCACATTACCTGGGAAGTCACCCAGAGCCCTAACCCCCCCCCCGCCCCGGGCACTGTTCTGGGGTGGGATGGGGAACAGCCCCTCTTCACGTGTCGTCTGTCCGCAGCCTCGCCCCGATGATTCTCCGGGAGCAGAAGGAGATGTTGACCCATGGTTTAGGGACACAGAGGTGTCTAAGAACGGGGTCTTAGTCCTGCTGCTGAGGCTGGGTTCGCCTGTCCTTCGCCATCCTGGTCCTCCCACCTGAAGACCCTGGGGCTAGGGAGAAGTGGGGGTCCCAGGGCCTTGGGCATTTTGTCATGTTTTTATCTTTGGGAACTGAAATAGTTTCATTAATTTTCTCTTTAACCACCCAATCAAAATATTTTATAAGGAAGGTATTTTGGGGGGATAAGTGAAGAAGACCTTTTGCAGTTGTGACCTCGTGTCTTAAAAGAAGCCCGTCAGGCACGAGGTTGCCGGGTGAGAAACGGCATAATTATTTGAAAACGTAATTTCCTGAGGCAGGGGTAGTTAATGGAAAATACATGGAAAGAGCAGATACCATGAAGAAGGCACCGGCTTCAACTGACCGCCTCCATATTTCTTCCCAGCAAATTCTGCTGTTTTAGGCATGATTAAAATACTGTGGAACTGTATCTTTCAACATTGTTTAAAAGGAAACTAATTTTACTTTGCTGTTGTCCTGTTTGTACCATTCTCATTTTTCCTCGTTAATAGAACAGGCGTTCTCATCGCACATACTGGAACCGATAGAAGAGCTTTCAGAGGAAGAAAAAGGTAACCAGGGGCTCACTCAGCGTTTCCACCTGCATAGATTCCATTGAGATGCTAAAACCCAAGCCTTGAAATTTACAATCCAGTGGTTTTTATCACACCGTTATCAAAATTAGGGAAGACATTTAGGTTTGGAGATGACGTTTTCAATCCATCTGTTGTATTCTGTCACCTTATTCCTTTAACTTGGGGAAAAAAACGTAAGTCTTTTTGTTGACACAGATATTTTCTGGTCAGATGACAAGTCAACGCAAATGCATTGTGCACCAGATGATACAAAAATATTCCTAGGCGGCGCCTGGGTGGCTCAGTTGGTTAAGCGTCTGCCTTCGGCTCAGGTCATGATCCCAGGGTCCTGGGATTGAGCCCCGCTTCAGGCTCCCTGCTCAGCAGAGAGCCTGCTTCTCCCTCTGCTTGCTGCTCCCCCTGCTTGTGTGTGCTCTCTCTCTCTCTCTCTCTGACAGATGAATTAAATAAATAAATAAATAAATAAATCTTTTTAGGAAAAAAAATATTCCTAGCACAGTAGCTATTTCTCACATCCTGAATCTGTGAGAGGGTGAACTGCCCATATCAGAATTATTTTAACAGCAAAAAAAAAGCATAATATTTATGCTCTTGATGTAGAATATTTATGTGCAGAATAATGTCTTTTTTAAAAAAAAGACTTATTTATTTATTATAGAGAGAGAGCAAGGGCACATGGTGGGCAGAAGGAGAGGGTGAGGGAGAGAGAGAGAATCTTAAGCAGGCTCCACGCTCAGTGCGGAGCGCAATGCGGGGCTCGATCCCACGACCCTGAGATCGTGACCCAGACTAAAATCAAGAGTCAGAGGCTTAACCGACTGAGCCACCCAGGGATCCCCAGGGTAATGACTTTATGTTGAAATTTGGGAACTGTTCAAGGTTTGGGGAGATAATTAAAGTTATTGTGGCTTACTCCTTTTATTCAGCAGCTCTCAGAATTATTTTCTGTCAATTAATTTTTGAAGTTTAAGAAAATCATTCCACATTATTAAGAGTATTTTCTAATGCCAGACTTGTAGACCCTGAAACAGTTACACTTGAATAATATATATATGAACTCTGGTTTTACCATTTGTGTTAGGAAGAAAATTAAAATCTATATTCCAATTTGTAAATTCTTAATATTTGTTGTAACTTTTCTGTGTTCTCTAGATGACTTTTTCCAAGTTATTTTTTTTAAGATTTTATTTATTTATTTAGAGAGAGAGAGTGCACAAACAGGGGGAGTGGCAGGCGGAGAGAGAAGCAGGCCTCCTGCTGAGCAGGGAGCCCCATGCGGGGCTGGATCCTAGGACCCTGAGATCATGACCTGAGCCGAAGGCAGACACTTAATGACTGAGCCACCCAGGCGTCCCTTTCCAAATTATTTTTAACAAGGCTGCAAATTGAGAAGTGACTCAATCAGGCACATCCACAATATCTGCGATGTTTATTTTCCATCTGCTTTTAAGTAATGTGCTTTCTCCCTCCTACATGTTATTTATTGATGTCTGGAACAGCAAATATCTTTTTTTCTGCAGAATCCATGAAATGTGTCCGGCGGTCATATGGAGTCTCAAGTTCACACTCCTTTAAAAAAAAAACAAGTCTGTTAGATTCCAAGAGACCGTCCTCACTTTGTCCACTGTCACCCCTCGGGGCCCCCACTTATACCCATGACATCCTTCTGCCTGTGTTTTAGAATTCTTCTACCCAGACCACGTAAGGTGTGAGTTTGGGATCACGGGCAGCGAATACCATCGTTGGTTGTTGCCGCATGCGGGGAACCAGATTGGGAAAGAAAATAACCTTTGCCGTGTATTCGGACACAGCTCTGGTTGGATAGAGGAGAGGGCCGAGGACCGCCAGACAGGCCTGAGTCCCAGGCACACTGTTACATAAGCCAGTGACCCAGCGAACCCTTCAGTGCCTCCGTGGAGCCAGCATGCCGGCAGCAGATTAATTGCCATCAATAAATTCCTCAGCTGGGCTAGCATTTTGCAGATGATGCCTGTACAGCTAAATTTTGGCAGTGGTTTGCAAAGCACTGTGGCTGTTACCCAGACGCATGCGTGCACGCATACTTGCATGCATGACCACTTCTGCGTCCTTACGGTTTTGACAGTCCCGGAAAGGCATATTCCCAACCCTTGCTGTGGGATGTTAGAATGTGGGCCAGCAGGGGTCTCAGAGGCCATTTCATTGTTCAGGAACTTGAAACACAGGGGGATTGGGAGCTTGCTCCAAGTTGTTGAGCTTAATTCGTGACAGGGCTGGAACTCCGGTCCAGGTTTTCAGCTTTCCGTAGTTTACCGCAAAGAACAAAGGGACAGAGGCAGGCTGGTCCAGGACTAGTGGGGTGCCTTTGGAGCAGTCTCTTTACCTCTCTGGTTTTGGTGTTCTCATGTGAAAAATGAGAGGATTGATTCCTAGATGATGACGTCCCTTCTGACTCAGAAATTCCGTTCTGGTTTTTGTTTTTTACTCTTTGCTTTGTGCTGTGATTATTTGCTCACCAAAAATGGTACGTTGTATGTCTGATATAAATGATCATTTGTGTGGGCTATTGTGCATTGGGCTACCTGCCTGGGAAAGTTTTGTCTTTGATTAAAATCTTCTGTTGTGATAGGCTTTCCAGTGGTTAATTCCACCATTACATTAAAAACTTTTTCTTTTTCCTGTCCATTCTACGTTCTTTCTCTTGCTTCCCCCAACCAGCCCCAGCCTTGTTAAGAGTCCTTCCTACCAAGAGTTTTCGCCTTATCCATAAAGGAATCTAAAGCAAGCATCAACATAAAAAGTGAATTTGAGGACAGAGGGGAAATGTTTAATTTGCAGCCATTTTGGGAAACTTGGTCATCAGAAGGAGCTTATCATCAGGGTCGAGGGTGAACCCAACCCAATCAGCAAACAAATTCAGTTCGCTTACCCCGGGTCCTGGAGCAGACAGAGGCTGGAGTCTCTCTATCTGCTTCTGTGTAGTTCCTTTTATACCCTGGGTCCTGGCCCGAAAATTCCCTTGTGTAAACAGGGCGGGAGGTGTGCCTTTTTCCGTGGTAGTACCATGACTCCCAGGCAGTCTCTCGGTACCTCTTCATGTTGTTCACCCTAGATAGTTTTCTACAGTTGATGGCCAACTAGCCACCAAAGCCCGCGACACGGCCCCGGCTGCAGCTAAGCCCTCTAGATTTTGATGTATTGTTCCTAGGACAGAAGTGCTTTTTTTTTTTTTAACATTTTATTTATTTATTTGAAAGAGAGAGAGCGAGAGTGTGAGCTGGGCAGGGGTGGCGTGGGGAGGAGCATGAGGGAGAGGGACAAGCAGACTCTGCACTGAGGGCAGAGCCGATGCGGGCCTCCATCCCATGATCCTGAGATCATGACCTGAGCCAAAATCAAGAGTCAGATGCCCAACCAACTGAGCCACCCAGGGGCCCCCAGAAGTGTTTTTTTTTAAGGTGGCTCCAGAATATTGGAAAACATTGGTGAGAAAGCAGCATGAATGCTGAGAATCAAAAATTTAAGATTACTTCTGATTTTTACTAATACATAATCTTACCAAATTTTATAATTTCAGTTTCGCAAACCGCAGTACCAAATTATAGAACAGCATTACCGTGCAGGAGTTTTCCTCTTATTTAATGTACACGCAGTAATTTGACTACTTTTGCCCTCAGCAGAAGTGTTGATTCATGTATTCTTTACTGCTGGAGTTGAATGAGGGTTTAGAGAATGTCTGAGACATTGGGGGCATTTTGTTGTGGATCTTCTGCTGTGGGTCCCTAAAACTCCCATCTACTGGGGTGGGTGAGGCCGGGCCTCAAAATACCATGGCCCCTGCAGCCCCAGACCTACTCAGCGTGGGCACTCGGCAACACCCTTGTTGGGTGAGATGCCCCTGTTCAGAAAATAGACTCCAAAATGACAGCACTGTTGTGTTCTCCCAGATCTGGCTTTGGACCTTCACTAAGGGTCTGAACAGCCCCGGATGAACCTCTTCCATCAAGCCCTCCCTCTGCTTTGACGTAGGACTCCGATCTTCAGGGTCATGTAGTCACGCACATTCTCCAAATTCTCTTGAATGCCACATTTTTTAGTCGGGGAATGAAAGAGGAACAGGGAAGGAAAAGTTAAGAGAATCTGGCCGGTTATTTTTCCTTTGCTTTTAATTATAGGTTGTTTTAAACAGAATATACTTTTCCTAAGACTCTTTGTTAACCTCTTTTTCATTTTGGTAAATATTTTGGGAGGGATAATATCACATTTTGAAATTTTAGATAAATTTTTACTGAATTTATTAAATCAAAACTTAATTATTTAATATAAGTGGGATTTCTTCAAAGAAAATGATACATAAATTCTAATAATTTAGGTGAGATGAATTCTTCAGAAAGTAGTAAAATAATTTTAGGATGAACCATTGAACTTCTAAAGAATTCATTTTTTTCTACTGTGCTTCTGCAGAGACATTTCCCTTGCATTATTCATCTAGTAATGATCCAGTTAAGGGGTCAAGAAAGAGTCTTTAAAGACACCGAAGTTTTGAGGCCAACTTAAGGTAGTTTTAAAAAAGTTGTGATACTTCAGCATCATATATTGAGCTGAATGCTTAAACAATCCATACAAAATGCTTGCTTGCTGTTTAAAAGTGGTGTTTTGCCATTTTCTGCTTAGAGCTTTTATGTATTTAACTTTTTAACACACTTTGTAAACCTTATTTCAGGAAGGGAGAACGAACAGAAATTAAATCACAACAAGATTCACTTAAGGAAAACGTTGAAGAGTAACCCCTCCCTCACGAAGGAAATAAGGAGTGTCTTGGAGCAGAGTTTGCTAGAGAAACTAGAAACCTTTGGGATTAATGCGGTAAGCTCCTTCATTTCAGGAATGTTCACTGGTTGTGTTGTATTTTGTTTTCTCGATGGGAAAGGATCAGAGAAGAGAAGAAGGCACGTCCGTTCTGTCCTTGGGCACTCATTCTGTCCTGATGGCCCAGCTTGCACTGTTGGTCAGTCACACACACACACACACACACACACACACACACACACACACACACACACACACACACACACACACACCCCTCTGTGCATTCAGTCCTGGCTCTCACAGCCTAGCACCCCTAACGAGTCCCATGCACTCATACACACCCCCGTCTATGTCCCACTGCTCTGGGAGTTCCCCTTGAGGCCAGAATAGTGTGTTGTATGTCGGGGCGTCTCCTCCCTCGCATGCAGCAGTGAGGACAAAAGGTTGGCACAGTTTATGCTGACAAATGCTCATGAAATGAAGAACGTCCCAGGCTAATAAGCTTAACATTTTATTGCTTCAGGATATACGTGGAATTCCAAGCGATCACTTCAGTAGGGTGCTAAGAACTGTGGAATCAGCGAGACATGAACAAGAAAGACAAATACCCAACATTCAGAAAATTCGAGAATTCCTTGAACAGGAGGTCAGCTGTAAAATTGAGGAGAGAACCTTACTGTCCTCAGGTAATCCCGTCACTGGCTGCCATTTCATTTCTGCACGTAGGAACAGGGATCCTGTTGCCTTTCATAATTTTAAATGGTTTGCAAACTTTGGAACTTCACTGGCAAGTCTCATATTGTTTGGACCTTTATATGTTACGTTTTGGGTTTTATTTTAATATTAAAAAAAATGCCTGGGGCACCTGGGTGGCTCAGTTGGTTGAGTGTCCAACTCTTGGTTTCGGCTCCCACGTCAGGCTCCGTGCTCAGCAGGAGTCTGCGTGAATATTCTCGCTTCCTCTGCCCCTTCCTCTGCTCTCACTCATGCTCTTTCTCTAAAATAAATAAATCTTTAAAAAAAAAAAAATGCCTGTCGTGTGGACTCTAGAGCCAAGAGCTTGTTTTTTCAAGTGCCAGTATAGACAGTATTGTAGTATTTTCTGGTGCTTTTCACTCGCTGATGATGAAGGCAATGGAGACTCATGAATGATACTGCTCTTCCAGATAAGTACGGTGCTCCTCCTCAAGTGGAAACCCTTTCAAATGGAGAAATACCCAAGGCAGTACAGCTTCCTCCCAGAAGCAGACAGCTGACAAGACAAAGACCTGTTTTTACCGATAGGACGTCTGTCCCAAAGTGAGTCTTTTCGACCCTAAAATGTTTGTATTCATGTTTATCCCAGTCGGCTTGGGCTGCTATAACAAAATACCACGGACCGCGTGGCCTGAACAACAGAAAGCTATTTTCTCACACTTCTTGAGATTGGACATCTGAAAGCAGTGTGACGTATGGTCAGGTTCTGGTGACAGCTTGCTTTCAGGCTGGTAGACAGTCACCTTCTCACTGGGTCCCCACATGGAAGGGAGAGAGAGAGGTCTGATCCCTCTTCTTCTTCTTAAAAGGACACTAATCCCTTTATGGGGGCCCCACCCTCATGACCTCAAATAAACATAATTACCTCCCAAAGGCCCAACCTCCAGAGAGCATCCCCTGGGGGGTTAGGGCTTCAACATGTGGATTTTAGGGCGACGCAGACATACAACCCACAACAATGTCTGACCCAGCAGAGCATCACGCTTACAGTTCCTACCAGCCTGTCATTGGTACCAGCCCATTTCTTGTTGCTTATCCTCTTTAACAAATGTTCAAAAGCAAAAATCACCCATTCCATAGAAATTCATATTAAGTTACATTATTCACTGGTGCCGCTTAGAAATCATTTTCTTTTGTGTTTTAGAATTAAGAAAAATATCATAGAAGATCATTTTCCCGGAAAGTCTTCAACTATTACGTGAGTACTTGGGAGTGGGGAGAGGACGTTTAAAAAGTTCTTTCCCCTGAACATTCCTTTTGTTGTAAACTAGTATGTGCACTGTGATTAATTAAAACCCTAATTATTAAACATCACAACTAATTTGTGGTCACTCCTTTGTGACCTGTCTTTGTTTCTTCATCAGATTTACTCTAAGTCAAAAGCACTTATCACCTTATGGCCCCCACTAAGAAGTGGGACCGCCACCCCGTGTCATTTCCATTATTCCCCACCGTGTCCCGTAATTTTGAATAAGCACGGTGAATTAAGCGAATGATGTTGTCTTTTAGTGGCTGGATCCTGGATAGTGTGGTCAGATGATATTGTGGTGGTCTTGCCCCTTGTAGAAGTCAATAATGGCCCTACACCTTACTGTTTTGGGCCCTCTTAGGATACTGAGGATCCTAGCTCCGTCACTCATGAGCTGTGTGCTACTGATTCACTTGCTTACCTGTTTAGGCCTGTTTTCTTATCTGTTCAATGGGGGTAAGGCTGCTGTTTTCACAGGATAGTTCTACAGATTAAGAATGTATGAAAAGGGGTTTGGGGGTGCCTGGCTGGCTCAGTCGGTGGAGCATGCAACTCTTGATCTCAGGGTTATGAGTTCAAGCCCCACATTCGGCGTGGAGCCTACTTAAAAAAAAAAAGTAAAATAAAAATTAAAAGCTTTATATTTTGAAAAGAAAAGGGCTTGGCCTCAGGGCTTGGCACTTAGTGGGGACTTAATAAATTATAGATACATTGTTATTAATTATAAGTAAAACTGATTTTATCAAAACTGAATTTTATCAACTTTTTCTGGAGATATTAATGCTATAAATATCTCTTCTTGAGGCATTGTGTATATATAGTAGAGACGATATAAATTATAAATATAGTAGGGACAGTATAAATAGAATATAATAGAGGCAGTAAAATGATTTACCCTTCAAAAGCATTTTTCATGTACAAAGTCTCCTAGGAGCCTTATTTCATGGGACATAGTATGACTGAACATTGTCTGGAATTTAAGTGCTCAAAGAATGTTCTTGAATGAACGAACGCTGCTCTGAACTTCTCACTTTATTTTTTAAATTTTTTTTAATTTTCCTTTTTTAATTGTGGCTAAAAAAACACTCACCCAACAGTTTCCAAGTGTACATAGTATTGTCAGCCATATGTGCATTATGCATAGACAATTCCTTTTTTTTTTAATTTTTTTAATTAAAAAAATTTTTTTAATTTAAATTTTAGCTGGTTAACATACAGTGCAATATCGGTTTCAGGAGTAGAATCCAGTGATTCATCACTTCCATACAACACCCAGTGCTCGTTGCAACAAGTGCCCTCCTTAATGTCCATCCCCCATCTAGCCCCTCCCCCACCCACTTTAAAATGGGGTGCTAATTCATGTGATGAAGCAAATGGGATTGTGTATGTAAAAGCACTTCGTAAAGTGCAGTGTAGAGGTAAGCTATAAGTAATGACGCTATTTTATTTTATTTTATTTATTTATTTTTTTTAAGATTTTATTTATTTGACAGAGAGAGACACAGCAAGAGAGGGAACACAAGCAGGGGGAGTGGGAGAGGGAGGAGCAGACTTCCCGCGGAGCAGGGAGCCCGATGCGGGGCTCAATCCCCGGGACCCTGGGATCATGACCGGAGCCAAAGGCAGACGCTTAACGACTGAGCCACCCAGGTGCCCCTATAGTAACGCTATTTTAAAAGATGGAGTAGTTTTACTACAGAAAGATTTCTTTCCCCCAAATCCCGAAAGGCAACACCAGTGCCCCCGCTTGGGTTTTCATTTGTTTAGGACACCTCCGTTCAGTTCGGAGGAGGAACTGGACAGTGATGACCTCATGCAGGCCTGCGCATCCCCAGACTTTCTTCCGGTGCAGCCCTCTGAAAGCAACAAGAGCGGCTTTGGGAAGAACATTGTCAAAAGCGACGCTGACTGGACCGAGGGAAGTGAAACTGAGGACTCCGACATTTCTCCCAAGCCCACAGGTGAGCCCTGGCCATTGAAAGTCCTTCTGGAAAGTTTGTTTAGGACAGTGGTCCCCAACTGGGGGCCCCAAGCACTGGGAGGCGGGGCTGGGAAAGTGCTCACAGAAAGGAACAGGCTAACCCAAAAACCACTGCTGCCTAAGGAAGATGCACAGGCTTAGCACCTCACTGATGCTCAGGTGGAAGGAGAGGAAGCAGGTGGGGATGCCTGGGTGTATTTGTTTCCTGGGGCTGTTGGAACAAAGTACCACACACCTCGTGGCTTAAAACAGAAATTTATTGTCTCCATCCCAGAAGCTAGAAGGCCAAAATCAAGGGTGGCAAGCTTGGGTCTTTGTGAGGGCCGTGAGGGAAGGATCTGGTCTAAGCTTCTGTCCTTGGCTTGTAGATGACCATCACCCTCTCCCTGGTCATGAGTCTGTGTCCCAGTTTCCCATTTTTATAAGGACACCAGTCATACTGGATCCGGGCCCACCCTAACGAACTCACTTTAATTTGATGACCTCTTTAAAGGCCTTATCTCCAAATAAGGGCACATTCTGAGATATCGGGGGTAAGAACATCATCGTATGAACATCAGCCCATACACTGGGCGTCTGTAAGAATGGATATTCTCATACACGGTGCTGCCTTGGGAGATGGGGCAATTCTACAGGAACATAAGATCCAAGTGTGTGACTGCTGATCATTTGCTGAAGAGAAGTGGGGCTTAAGGGTCATCTCTTGAAAAAGAAATTCAGCTTAATGCAGTTTAAAAATTATATATTTTAAACATATGAGATATAATTAATTTATTAATTATATATTATTACATATAATATATAATTAATTTATTGTATTGTATACAACTTAGGTTCATGTTACATATAATTATGTAAGACATAACTAATTCATTTTAAAATAATATTGTTTTTGAAAATACCCACATGAATATTCCACTCCTACAGACTGCCTCACTGAAATTGACGTTTCTGACCACAGCTTGAATGAGACCATCCTTCTTTGATTTAAAATGAACATTTCCGGGCGCCTGGCTGGCTCAGTCATTAAGCGTCTGCCTTCGGCTCAGGTCATGATCCCAGGGTCCTGGGATCGAGCCCCATGTCGGGCTCCCTGCTCAGAGGGAAGCCTGCTTCTCCCTCTCCTTCTGCCCCTCCACCCCACTCATGCTCTCTGTCGCTCACTCTCTCTCAAATAAATGAATAAAATCTTTAAAAAAAATAAAATAAAATGAACATTTTCTTGCTTCTGGTCTAGGAGATCATGATTTTTCTAAAAGGAATTATACATGTATTAAAGTAACTTTTTTTCAATCCCCAAAATACATGAATTGATTTTAATTTACTAAATATGATTATTCACAAAGCTTAGAGTCTTTCCAAGTCGCTTGTTCAGGTTATTTTGGAATCGAAGAAAGATAACAATTTTTTTTTTTGAAACTGTACCTATTTTCTGTTGGTCACCCAGGAACCTTCATTAAAACACTGACTGAAAAAGTTGAAAAGACCGTTTCAAATCACAGAAACGTGAATAAGCCAGTTGGTGGAATTAATGTTGCTGAGGCGTTCATCAAAAAAGAATTCAAAGAAGAACTAAAGGTGAAATCACTCTTGCTTGCTGTTTTAAACATGAACAGAGAAGGTCATCTTTTAACGAATGTACCTTAATAAATTGTACTTCTTGTAGTGAAATATAAAACACATATTTAGGACAGTAGCGGTTGAGATTTGCACCGTATCTTGTTTGCAGCACCATTGCATTTCTTTCCTTTCCGTAGAGAATCAAAGATATCGGAATGACAGCGGATAAGAAGGCATCATGTGCTTATCAGGCTTGACAGGTGTCCAGCCTCCTGTCACATGTCTGGCTGACGCATGCAAGCATTAGATAGTTGGCACACGGATGCTTGTGACCGGCCAGAACCTGGGGCCTCAGCTCCGAGTCCGTGGCACGCCCTGGCAGTAAGATAGGGACTTGTCAGGGTTCAGCCCGGCTTGGGAGCTGGAGTAGGTGGAGAAATGCATCCGAGAGACGAGAGGAGAGCCCGAGCACTCGAACACCTTCCTAGCGGTTCCAACTGCCAGGACATCAAAATGTTTCTATGCGTGGAGAACTCCTGCTGTATTTCTGGGTGCAGCTCATCTGTGTTGACCGGGTCTTCCAGTAGTGGTCACTGTTTTCTTAGCCTTAACTCTTCTCTTGTTCATTTGTGGGCACAGTAGGAACTTGTGCTCCTTTCAGATGGGCCCTGGTGTGACGTCACCTGCGGCTCAAGGTCAGATTATCCCTGAGGTAAGAGCTCCTACTTGCGGAGCAGCCTGACTTTACTACTACAATGTAGGGTTTCCGGGATTTTTCTAAATTCATGGCTGGTAGAGTAGGTAGGAAATGTGTACATTTCCGTAGCAGGAAACAAAGAGCTTGTTCCGTCTGCCTACAAAACACAGATTTCCAAGTTCACTTCCTTGCCCTCCAGAAATGACCGGACGGGTTATCTCTGAGATTCCCCAACGTCAGATCGTTCGGTGTCAGTGGCTCAGTCTAGCCAACAAAATGACCGACGGACGCCAACATGCGCTGCGTGTTTAAGAAACCCTCATTGCTCTCCATGTTCTCCCTCAGTGTGCAGATGTGGAGGACGATGACTGGGACATATCATCCGTAGAGGAAGAAAGATCTCTGGGGAAGAAAACTGGGAGAGAACAGAGGGAACCTCTACCTGTGAAGAATGAGTCAAATTCTACTCAAGTGCCAAGCGCCTGGGGTGCATCTAATCTGAAGGGGCCAAAGGGAGGTTCGTGGCTTTAGTGTCTTGACAGTCCGCTTTCCGGTTATTTGTTTCATCTTTATAAATATCTAACGAAGCTATGTTAATATACCATCAGACAGAAACGCGTTTCTCTTGTTGGTATAACAAATACCTTGACGCTTTCACAAAGCACACAATATAACAAATACCATGTGCTTTGTGCGCATTTATTCCCTTTTCAAGTCCTTTAATCTGTGTATATTTATGTAATTTGGACCTAGTCTTTAAATTTTAATATTATTTTTGAAAATGCCCATACAAATATTCTCCATGCAGGTGCCTCGCAGAAATTAAAATTTGTGCTCTTACACCTGAATGGGGCCATTCTTCTGGCGGTCTTCCTTCGTTAATCTGTTTACACATTAAATGTTTCTCTTTATTTTCTTTGAGGAAAGATTTCTCTTGCAACATTATAGCCAGTGGGAGGAATTACAAATGAAACCAAGAGTTGACATTGTTCCTGGATGAGTCCTGGGGTCTGGCCAGGTGGTCCAGAAGGGCTTGTCTGCGCCTGCAGCGTCCGTCCTCGGGTCTGTGCTGTGCCCCGAGTTCCACCACACCTCTCAGTAGTAGGTCAGACTATGGTTTCCAGACTCCTCAACTTTAGACATGATAAGCTAAGACAGATAGGGGTATGGCTCATTTTCCGCACTCACGACACCTCTCACTGACCCCCGTCAGGTCTTTTTGTGCCCCCATCCATACTTTAAATTAATACGGGCAAACCTATCTGTCCTTCCCGTTTTCAGTGGGATCTCTCGCCACCTCACTTTGTAAGACGAGCCATTGCTGTCTGCCCTCCAAGTCACCTTTCCTCTCCTCCAGAACGTGAGCCGTGACTTGACTTCTACACGGTGCCCGCCACTAGGTTATCTGTACTTCATATTAAAGCCCATCGATCCTAGAAAACCCCTATTTACCATTTAGCTCCTACTTGGCCTATTCTACTTTTATTCTCCTTTCTTTATACCTGTCACTCAGAGTCAGTAACAACAGAACATTACTGAGCATGGTTAAGGGTCCTGGCTGAATGAAGGGAGGAGAGATGCCAAGTGGAAGCCTCTAGACAGGGTCCCTGATGGTATCCTGGAGATGTGGCCATTTCGTGGCCAGATTGCACTTGTGCCTTCCTCCACAGCCTGTGGGAGCTGGGGGCCTGTGGATTAGCCAACAGACCTGGACGCTGAGCGATAAGGGATTTTTACAGACTTGTCTGATCATTGAAGCTCCTTTCTGCTTCTGTCTCTCCCTCCACAGGACTTCAAGATGAATCCAGCACACTGAAAAGCAGCTTAGTAACTGTGACTGATTGGAGCGACTCTTCAGATGTATAACCGCAGCCTGAGTCAGAAGGTGCAGATGCCAACAGGATTCCAGTAATCTGCCCACAAGATTCTAGCACTCCTGCCTTACAGTATTTCCCACAATAACAAGGAAGCTGATTCAAAGAACAAGGGTCTCTTTAACAGCACCTAATTCAGTACTGAAAAACAAATTGTCAACAGTATTTTGAAGCATATAGAGGGTGTTTAAGACTTCTGCTGAATAAAATTAATGTCATTTGAAGTCATAAAAAGTTTTTTCTTCAGAACGGTACTCTAGTGTGTAAGTGTATTTTTTTCAACTAATTTTTAAGTGATTTTTTTTTTAAACTTAAAGCAGGTTTTGGTTTGAATTAAAAAAATTTTTTATATCTTTCTTGCGTGCATTATCACACTGGAAGTGTTTTATTATAAAATTCTGCTAGTATGCTTAAACTTGAACTACTGAAATCAATGAAATCTTAAGAGTAGATTGGTTATCTTTCATATAGAAATAAGTTTAGAATTAGAAAAATACAGCTAGGCCGCCGCTTTGAGCCACTGTAAGCACGTTGTATTAAACAATTACTTTAGAACGTTAAATACCATTTCTGCAGTATAATCTTTGCCTTGGATATTTTATGAATAAAATGTAGCTGTTTTCAATCAGAATCTGAATAGAAAAGATTGAGTCATTACTGAATTCATATGTGCATGTGGGTTTTTTTTTTTCACTTTCTTCAAATGCCCAACCCATATTATAAAATACCTCAAAACTAATTACTTCTGTTCTTAACAACTGTCAATGGTCAGAAAGTTCATATAAACTGTTTTTTGCATTTTTTTATACTTTGTGGTACTATCTGACTCTTGTTTCCAAAAAAAAAGTAACATTTTAACTGATAGTCTGTTGGGTTTTGGATCTCTTTTCAATTTGCCAACCTTTCAAGTAAAGCCCTCCATTACATCATTGTGACTGTGGCTGAGTCATTAAGGATGAGTTCTGAGCTAAACTTACCTTGTTGGGGGCTTAGGCTTGCCCTGTTAGCCGTGCCACACAACATCCTGATCTGAAGTCACAACAATTTATGTTTCTGCCCCCAAGGGTCCTTTTCACTTGTCCACTTGCACCCTTTGAAGCACTTCCCTCAGGGGCCATTTTATGGAAACGCACTCACTTTCCATGTAAAAGCTTTATATACTGCCAAATCAAATCTCCATATAGGGGGACAGAGCTAAGCAACACACCAAAGCCACACCGTACCCAAGAAGGCACACGGGCCACTGTGCTCATTCAGTCACTTTTTCAACAGATATTTATTGAACTACGTGGGTGTATTTTGCTTTTTTTTTTAAAGATTTTATTTATTTGAGAGAGAGCGAGCTCGAGTGCACAAGCAGTGGGGAGGAGCACAGAAGAGAGGGAAAAGCAGGCTCCCCGCAGAGCAGCGAGCCTGGCGCAGGACCCTATCCCAGGACCCTGAGATCACCACCCGAGCCAAAGGAGGACGCCCAACCGACTGAGCCACCCAGGCGCCCCTATTTTGCCTTTTTAACGTGCATAGTTCATTTAATCAGAACAACTTTGGGACACAGTGAATATCATAATCCTCATCCTGAAGATGTGAGAAATGCAGAATTAAGTGACTTGCCAAAAGCCATACAACTTGAAAGTGACAAAAGCAGACTTTTTACCCCGGTCTCTAAGCTCCCCGTCTTCACTCCTGACGGAAAGGGGAGGGGAAACGGGATGAACTGCTACACAAACCCAGTATTTAAATTAAGTCGGCACATCTGTGTTGCAAAAGCCACTCCTTTAACTCCTCTCTTTAGTCCTACCACGCTGTCCTCGGAGATGTGGTTTGTTCCGATTTTCTTTGGACGCTGTGTTTCCCCTCACTGATGCACAGTTAACATGTTTGCGGTTCCCGACAGAGCCTTTCTGTCCTTTCACCCCCTTCCTCTCCCTAAATTCTTCAGGAGCTAGAATGCTTCAGTACAATCTAAACATTACCTTCACCGGCACAGCTCTGAAATTAAAAAACTCGGTTTTAAACACACACCCATAAAATCCCGCCCCCACACTGGCCTGTAGCACCTAACCTCCCTTGTGGCTTTCGGTTCATTTGTATCCCTAGAAGAGATATTTTTGTATATATTATATATAGAGTATATATTTTTATACTTATATTTATTTTACTTTCATATATTACACATTTATGTATTTTATATATTATATATTTTACATATATACGTATCTGTATTATATATAATTTTTTTAGTAACAAACTTGTTTATTTCCTCTTCTTCCCATTGAACATCTCCAAATAATGTGATTTTCCCTTTTAAGTTTTTCATGCTGTTCAGAGATCACGGGGGCAACTTACATGCCTTAAAAAATGGTAAGTCTCTCCATTACCCAGCTTGGTTGTGCACTCAGGGCCCGAGAGACACACTGGAACTCAGCCATAGGTTGTGAGCGAGGCAGGTGCCATGCAGGCTCTGGGACCTTCCTTGGCTGGCTCCAAAGTCAACCATGACCTGCGTCTCCAGCCAGGCTCGTGCTGACCCTCCAGCCCAGAATCTGCTGCTTTCTGTATCAGAAAAGCCTCAGCAGCTCTTTAAGGCGGACGTGCCAGGCAATGTCTTGGCCCCATTAGCCCTTCCTTGAGCGGTCACTGAGAATCAGTGGTGACAAACAGGTGTAAGGAACCGGAAGTCGTCGCGACACAGCCAGTAACCTGTCCATTCAACCCAAACATCTTTCGAGGAACAGTCTCAGATTGCCCCCACCCTGTCCACAAGACACCACTTCTTATACACCTTCTGTTTAATATATGAAGGAAAAGAAACGGGGAATGGGGACAAAGAATACCACGTGTGAATGGTCAAGGAGGCTCCGAGACAAATACTTGACCCGTTGGTGCTAAATACGTCCCATGTTCTATAAATATATAAAATATATACAAATCCTGTAAATAACCTGTTTATTTTTTTTATAGAAAGCCACAACAGAAAATGATTAGAACATTTACATCCATACGATCAGCAAATTCTCCAAATTCATGTTTTAAAAATAGTTTTGAGTGTGAATTAGAGGAAGGCCTTGAGGGGGGATCATTTTGTGAACAGTTCACTTTTATAATGACTCAAGACAGCTCGTAGCAGTGCTCTTTTCAGACGTAAGCATTTTTATCAAACTGTTTTGAAGGGTTTGTGGTTTTAAAATCTCCTTCTGCGCCATGATACTTTGTCCGAGAAGACAGGACAGACGTGGCCCCATTGTATGCGTATCCCATTCTGCAAGGCAAAACACAGTCTGGTAGATCCTGCTGCACATGGAGGGCAGAGACCATTACCCTCTGCTTCTGTCCCAGCAAAGCTGCAGACTTTCCCTGCTTACTGTTAGTGAGTTTTCTCTCTCCTTCTCTCTCACTGCCACCAGCCCCCCCCACCCAAATATCTCACTGTCATTTCTGAACAGTCAGTGTGTCAGTGCAAATCTCAGCAGAAGAAACTCGTGGCTTGTTCATCTGTTCAGTTTTTCTCTTTTAAAACTCATCTTCCTGGACCCTGGCGGACAGTACTGACCTTCATCAGGAACCTCTGCCTGTGTGAAAACGATGAGGCCACAGTGAAGAATATGCCCCATGGTAAGCCCTACCGTTCTGCTCACTGAAATAGCTCTGGAATGTAAGAAGGATGAGCTCTGTCTTTTTAAATTGACTATATATTTATTCTCTTCACCGTATTTATCTTATTTAATATTACATTCACTATATATTCCTAATTTTAATCAATCCTGGTTTTTTGACGTTTCTAAGAATCATGTGAACAATCTATAATTTGCCGCACCTGTAATAATTTTAACAGGTCATCTTTGTCTCTTTTTCATACCTGGGAGGTTTGTTGTTGTCAGATATTGAAAAGCAAAATATGACACCACCAATTATGCAGAGTGAGGCTCCTGCCCATCCAATAAACAGAGCAGCTCCTAATTCGTACCTGTGAGGAAGTATTGCACAAGTATTATGGCTGACTTATTTGGGGCGTAAACAGTATTTAAGACTAACGAGCCAACATTTACTAAATGCTCATCATAAACGTTTGCTACTGGAGCTTTTACAGGAAGTAATAACACCTTTTATCTGTATAACGCTTTAAACTTTACTCAACGTGTTTTTCTAGCCATCTCTTGATTATGTCTCCCTGACTTCCCAAAAGGAAGAAGTGATCCCTGCAGGCAAAGCAGAGGCAAAGCCGGTTGAGGAGCCCCAGCCTCCCGGCTCAGCCGGTATCCCCCCTCTGGGCCTGTCTGAAGCTCACAGAGTGTTCCATCTATTTAGTCCACTGCACAGGGTAAATTATTCAGCAGACTCCAGTTAGAAAATGGCAGGTTGCCTTTGCTTACAGTTTAATTTAATTCAATAAACATTTATTTGCAAATCATGAGCAAGGTGTTGAAGGATGGCAGAATATGCCACCCTCAAACAGGCCACTGGAGCATGAGAATTATTTTGAGCTAAAGGCAACAACAGAGAAGCAAATACCAGAAAAGCTCTCTGCCCCTCCCCATTTGCCTTAAAGCAGGACATCAATTTGTAAAGATGTCCCCCATCCCTCCCACCCCACCAACGAGGAAGGACAGAAGTTAATCACCAGAGACAACAGTACACCTGGGGGGGGGCACAAAGGGCACCAGGGGGATCTTCGAAACAAACTTGACAAACCAGCCATATCTTCTATTAGTTCCCCATAGATCTGCCACCCCAGAGGCTCAAAGTCCTTTTCTCTGGTCTTGTCACCTCTCTCTGAGCTTATTGTTCTTTTATTTAGATGCCATATAAGCCCAAGTTCTAACCGGCACTTTGAGTTACTCATCGCTGGGTACTCCTACGTGTCTCCATGATGCACATGTTAACCAACTCTTTTTTTCTCCTGTTAATCTTTTTTTTAAAAAGATTTTATTTGTTTATTTGACAGAAAGAGAGAGCACAAGTAGGCAGAGCAGCAGCAGAGGGAGAAGCAGGCTTCCCGCTGAGCAGGGAGCCCGACATGGGGCTCGATCCCAGGACCCTGGGATCATGACCTGAGCTGAAGGCTGACATTTAACTGACTGAGCTACCCAGGCACCCCAATCTGTCTTTTGTCAGTATAATTTATAGGGCCCCAGCTGAGAACCCAGGAAAGTAGAGGGGGGAAAAGTTAAGTTTTTCTTTCTCTACGGAGCCCGTAAAAAGTCAGGGCTAGATAAAGCACTATCTTGCTTGTCACCATAATCTAGTGGGAGATAAATACAAAATAACAGCATTTAGTGGTAGATTGCCATGTGGCTGGCCACGGTACTCTGCTGCTGCCCCAAGCAGATGCAAAATTTCACAAGATACACAAGACAGCACCTACCTTGGGGAGGTCCCCACACAAAGGTACAAATAATGCTATGGAGAACAAAAAAGGAAATCACTTTTTGCCATGGAGGACTAGAGGAAATCCTTTCAGGGGAGGAGTACTCACCCAGAAAAACAAGTAAGGAATGACAAAAGTATACCAAAATGTTAGGGTTGTGTGTTTTCATGTTTGCCTATCCTTCTTTTGAAGAATAGGGTTTTTTTTAATAAAGAAGTGATTCTCCAGATTTTTTGGCCCATAGATTTCCACCGCAAGGCAAAGACTGATGGACGCTACCCCAACCTAATGGGAAGAAAATGAAGTCCAAGTGGGAGGGGTCTCTTTCGGTCACACAGAATCCACAGAAGAGCTGAGACAGGAGGGTCAGAGGTGAGGGTGACAAGGGGCAAGGCAGGGCCAAGGTGGGCTCCCTCCGCAGCCTGTCCCCTGAGCCAGGCACCGGGGCAGGCTTAGGTCTCGAGGTCAGACTGCGCTGTTGAGAGCAGTGGGCACATCCTGCCTGGGCCTGTCCTGAGTTTTGCCTCGTCTGTTTCTATGTGCCGTGTCACTGGCTGAAGTCCTGGCCGGGCATGGGTAGGCTCTCTGGTGTGACCTAAGTCACAGCAGTAATGGAGGAGTGGCCCCGACCGCCAGCTGGGGGAAGCCAGAAGCAACACTCATGGATTAGGAACAGATGATCCACTCGCTCATTTGCATATCTGGCTACGGTGGTAATTTCATAGCCTGTGTTCGCAATTGGGAAGAGGCGATGCACACAATGCACGCTGCCCTGGGGTCCCTTCTTTTCTCACTCTTGTGTTGCCTTTTCTGGGAAACCCAGGTGGTCGCTGAAGCAAGGAACAGCCATAGCAGAACAACTAGGGGTAAGCACTTCATCCTGCGCTAGAGCACTAACTATGTTCTGGAAACCAAGAAAGTCTCCAAGTGCTCCTGTCAGAAGCAATGGCAGAAACAGAAGAATGCTGCAACGTGGAACAAAACACCTTCAGTCTGCACGCAAAAGCTGGCCCCAAAGGACTCAGGAGCGAGGTGCACCAATGAAAAAGAACTGGCCAGACCAAGAGGGTGAAATTCACGGTTTTGTAAAAAATGCCTTCATTAAATGTCATGCCGTACATCTAAAAAAGGATATCCTGAATTTCCACAATCAGCCCTTTTATGATGTTTGAACGCAATCATGCACATAAAACAAGCAGAGTGCCTCCCAGTTGTTAGGTGCAGGCTCTTTAAAACATCTGCAAGTCCTAGGGAGCCCGGTGGCACAGTCGGTTGAGTGTCCGACTCTTGGTTTCAGCTCAGGTCATGGTTTCAAGGTCATGAGACTGAACCCCACATCAGGCTTTGCGCTCGAAGTGGAGTCTGCTTGAGATTCTTTCCCTCTCTCTCCCTCCCCTTCTGCGCCACCCCATGCGTGCACGCGCTCTCTCAAAATAAATAAATAAAATCTTAAAAGAAAACAAAGAAACAAACAAAAATCTGCAAGTCCTACAGTAGTAAGCACCAAATGCCCACGGTCATGCTGTCACTGAAAACACAGCTGAAAGTGAGCACACTGAACATTTCTACCTGGAGGACATTATCATGGGATTACCGTTTAGTGACACTTCCTGTTTTTCTCTATTTTTGTCCTCCTAGGTTCAGGTTGTCTTCGTTCCTCAAACTATGCCTTAGTACTACTCTTAGTGTAAACACCCCCTGAATCAACAGTCTGAGGTTTTTCTTAAAAAATATTTAGCTTTCTAAAATAGGATCCCAGTGCTGGGTACTACGGTTGATTAAAAATAAGCTTCTAATTATGAATAGCGGTCAATCAAGGGTGATGGTGATAGAAATCATAAACCGCTGCTCGGCACCATGAACTCACTCAAACGAGCATGCAAACATGTATACAGTGTCGTCACAAACCAGAGGATAAATTACTCAGGCAGGCCAAATGTCAGGACGTGTGTCTTTATATTCATTTAAGCTCATCTGGAAACTTCCTGAAGAATCATGGGTTTGTCTTATGTTAAAAACTGGTTCGTGTATTCCTATTTTTAAATATATTTTCATTTTTCTTTTTTTATTTTATTTTTTAAAGATCTTTATTTATTCATTTGAGACACAGAGATACAGAGAGAGAGAGAGATCATGAACAGGGAGAGAGGCAGAGGAAAAGGGAGAAGCAGGCTTCCCGCTGAGCAGGGAGCCTGATGTGGGGCTGGATCCCAGGACCCTGGGATCATGACCTGAGCCGAAGGCAGATGCTTGACCATCTGAGCCACCCAGGTACCCTCATTTTTCTTTAAGTCAGTAAATATAGACTCTATTCCAAGAAAAATATCATTTCCATTTGAGTTCCTTGTGAATTCTGTCAGAGACAAACAATAAATAATACCAGCTTAGAGCTGAAGTCTTCAAGAGACTCCATGTCTACACCAGTAATTTTTAAGAAGCTGGCTTTTGTGACTTGGTTCTTTCTTTTGCAGAAACTTTCCTTCTTCATTCTGTGGAAAGACACGTAGAGCTGACTTACTCAGCAGGGACTTGAATTCACACCTATCAGTGTGCGTGATCTGGCAAAAATTGGTTGGTATTACTGAAAGATGGGATTGAGAGAGAGCATTATAATATCCACTCAGATTTGTTCCAAAGCATGCCTCCTTTGACACTCACTGGGAAGCTTAGTCTCTGCCTGGAAATCGTTCTTCATTTTTTTGGTAATGCTAAGAAGCTGACTTCAACACCTCAGAAGATCATCAAATTTCAGATGCTCTGTTGCAGGTCTTTCTTTCGTTAACAATATCTCCTGGCCCCAGACAACCTTCCCCACTCAGAGCACGCCCCCTTTATTGACCTGTTATGATCACCGACGTGTTTCCATTATTCTGAAAAGCTATAAATCTGCTTAGCACCAGACAGATCCGTGATTGTCAGGGTGAGGACAGAATTTTGTTTCATGGATCAAAACATTGTTTTTAGAGTACCTCAAATAATCCGCTCAGTTGCTAGGACTAATCAAAAGCTGCCTGACTTCAATTCATTTATGTCATTGAATGTAAATTCAGTAAATAGGCGAAAACTTTACTTCTAATCAGAGAAATGAAAACACAGATTAATTGCTTAAAAGTTCCCCCCAAAAGAACCATAAAGATCCAATGCATTCAAATGTCCTCTGTACTACTGGGTGAAATTATTCTCACCCACCGGGCTGTGCCTGGGGCCCTAGAGAACTAGTACCACACCAGAAGGCGTTAATTCTGATCATCTCACACGGAGACTCATATTTCAGCCCTGTAACCTTCATGGTAATCCGAAGGCATGGATTGGAGAATACCTCTCATTTGCACCTCCTCTTTCATCTTCCTTGCATCCAAACCCTTGTCGTGACTTATTTGCCGTCCACGGACAGCTTATGTGGCCTACCCGGGTCACTGCCCCAGAAACGAGATGCCCGGCATTGTGCTCGAGGTGGACGAGAGAGACATGGCTATGCTTTCAAGGATCTCAGAGTCTAGCAGGGATCGGCAGATACTAAGCAAGCACATTTCTGCCGAGTAAACACTACTTGTGTTTTTTTTTTTTAAGATTTTTATTTTTTTATTTTGAGAGAGAGA